AATTCTTTTTCAAAGACAAAGCACAATATTTACTATTCGCGCGTATACTGTGCACACATTGATTGTCGTTAGTAGCGTTGCGGCAGAAACAAAAAAAAAAAAAACAGAGGTCTTGGGAGATGGAGGGGAAGAGAGTAGAGAAGAAAAATAACGAACACCAAATAAGACAAAATTAAGAAAACGGCGAAACAGAGAAAAAAAATGAAGCAAAATTAAAAATATGTACATAAAACGTATTTCACTTTGATGATCTCGACGAAAATGCGCCATTATGCTCCACGCTATGCCCAAGATTCCAATGATTGTGTCGCATCCTCTCTGTGAAAAACATCTTATTTTGCTTAAATGATGTGCACGAAGTAAATGACTTTTTTTTTCTGCTACGCATGTGTTCATGCCAAAGCCACATGCAAACTCCAAAAATAAAAAAAAATGGTTAAGCATGAAAGAGTTGGTGGATGGAAAAAATATGGATGCGTGAAAAAGACAACACATATACACGCATGCACACAGTACACACGCAATAAAATATGAAAGATCTCTATCCCACATATTTTAAATATTTAATTAGTTTACTCAAAAAGCTCCAATGTGCAGATTATGTATGTGTATATAAAACTGATGTGTTTTTTTTTCTACATGCGCTATTATTTTTGCTGTTGTGGCAACATTTACTTAACTTTTTTGAACTAATTTCATTTTTGCGAGAAAAAAAATGGAATTTCAAACTACGAGTTTACGACTAAAAAACCTTGTTCATAAGAATAGAGAAGAAAGAGAAAAAGTGAGCAAACAAAAAAAACTAGCACAGGAAATCCGGACAAATCAAATAAAATCACTGCGGGTTGAAAGAGTTGGTATAATTGTTGCTTTTGGCTATGGAATTTCCAAGAAAATCTCGTACAACCCTGATTTTCTATGGGAATCCATACTCACTGTGGAGCTTGATACATTTGCGTTTGTGATGTTTTTTTTATTTGCGTTTATTTTGCACAGGCAAAACTCAGTCCGTGTATGCCGCGTTCCGTTGTGTGCGCATTTTATTATCGTTCTATTGAAATTCAATGATTTCGTATCATCTATAAATTTACAATCAAACTCAAACAAGAAATTGTAAAAATAAAACAAACTTTGTCTATACTTGATGTTGTCTTTCATTACCAAGTGATTGATAGCATATGTATTGTTGGTGCGATACAAAGTTATTGTTGAAAAGTCAAATTTTATGAATGTTAAATTAATTTTCGTTTTAACTTTTGAATTTTCATCGCTCGAAATGCCTGTGAGAGCTATTCGAAATCGGCCATGTATTTAAACTTTGCAAGCAAATAATCTCTGAAGAGCACAGAAATAATAAAAAAAAACAACAACTGTTCGACAAATTTAATGTACACAGCTTTAAATTGGAATTTGAAAGAAAAACGTACACACATATTTCAATGTAATGTGTTTACAGTTTACACATGTATTATCGTACAGAATTATGAAGAGAAGGAGAGAGAGAGCGAGCAAAAATAAAAATGAAAGAAGAAAAAGTGAAACTGAACAATTGATATATGTGACGATTTTTTTCGTTCTCAAGATGATTTTGCCTATTTCATTTCAAATTACAAACATAAAACCTTTGTTTGGCAAAGAATTCAACAGCTGGTGCTCGTTCTCGTTCCATTACAGAACTGAATTCTTCGAATATAACAACAACAACGTTGTTTTCTACTAGTTTTTTTTTTGTCTTATTGATTCGATCGTATAATGTCACAATGAGAGAGCTATGTTTGAAGCAGCACCATTTTTTTCATTAAGATCAGCTGCAAATCTACTAACGAAATCGAAAAACATTCTCGATTAGAGTTCAAACAAACGCAAATATTGGTTTACGTTTTTCGTCTATCCCATACTCACAGACTATTCTCATTTACAATTCTGTTGCAAAACATACCAATTCGTAGATTTCTTTTCTTCTAAAAAAGAAATGAAACCAAAAAAAGCGAAAAACTACGTAAATTGTGATTTGAAATGAGAGAAAGTTCTAATATGAAGTTTTTAATCACATTCCGTATGCTCGGTTTGTTTTTATGTTGTGAGTGGTTATTCCATGGAAAATTCTCTCAATCCCAATGTGGTCATTAACATATATTTATTCTCACAGTCAATGAGATGTTATTTCGAGCGAAATCATCAGCGACGAGCGTATCCGTTGGATATTTTTGGATGGGAAATTCCCATTAGGAATCAATATGTGATGTGATGTGAAAAGAATGGCGAGAGTGAACCGAAAGCAACAAGATCGTTACCATTACCGTCACCATCGCCCCTGTCGCCGGTGTTGTTGTTATCGTCGTCGTCATTGTCGTCATTGCCAAACCATTCTACAAAGTGCTTGTGCAATGTGAGAAGATGAATGACAGTATCTTTGGTCAATCCATTGCAGTCATGTCACTTTGCATTTATATAAAATATAATTACCAGCGAATGAACAGAACAGTTAAGTTAAGTGTGTTTATATGAAATAGTATGAGAAAGGATGACAGAGAGAAAGTGAAAAGAAAATAAAACGAGAAAACCGGAAAATGAATGAAATGACAATTATGAAAAGCGTTCGAATTTATTGACATGTTCATCCAATTATTGCAGCAATCGTGTTGTCGTACAACGTATGGTGCTGTTGGGCGATTTTATTTTCGTGTGCTTTGGACACAAAGCCATGAATCTTTTTCATCTCTTATTTTTACAGTTCTGTCCACCGTTTATCGGTTTAACTAATGCGTCCTATTCGCATTTTTGTCATCATTTTATAAATAGTGTTTTTAGTTTTCTCTAGTTTTCTTTTTCTTTTTCATTCTATCCTACTAAATTATTGCAGCACGTGCCCATATTTTTCCATTGATTACCCTCTGCTTCCTGTTGTAGCGTATTCGCATATACAATACACTTGTGTTTTCTCTGTCTTTCTCTCTTTCGCCTTCCTTCTGTTTTGTCTCTCACACTTCTGCAGATTCATTTTGACATCGCATCGCACTCAAATATGACAGCAAATCTTAAAAACGTAAATATATACATATAAAATGTACATATGTTTAGATTTATTATGTGCTACATCAGTGCGTGTTTATATGAGTGCATTAACGTACATGGATCACATAAATCAAATTGAAATACGAAAAGTGACTTGAATTTTTCTGTTGCTCTTCAAAAAAAAAAATCAAATCAGAATTAAGTGCAATGGAACACATTGGATAAAATTGGATTCAGCGCAGATAAAAGAAGATAAAAGAACATTATCAAATGCAAATATCGAGAACGGTCTACAATACATAAAATCCGTTGAACATATTTCATCGCAGGTAGCTGTAAATGTGAGGCGACGTTTAAAATGATTTCAAGTATCTGGGAAAAATCGGTGCCTCTTCATTTTGATCAAGCAGCCTGCCACAGTGTTTCAATCAATTCATTCTCTATCTACTGTTGGCCACCGTCGCTCAAATTGAGTTTTCTATTCGGTTTATATAATTAATTGACGCATTTTACATGCTTTTTATTCTGTTCACATGCCACAATCTTCTTGAGTTTTCTTCGCATTTCTTCATTTTGTGCACTTGTTCAACGATAATAATCATTTGTTCGTGCCTTCATATTTCTCCTAGTGATTGCTTATTTTTCACTTCGAATCTAATTCGTTGGGATGAGCGAAGGATTATTTTTATTTACATTATTCATTTGTCGTGAAAGGTCTCGTGCGTGTGACTCTTTCATTCTTCGTTTCTTTTTCACACTGTTCTCTCTATGTTACATTTCTCACTCTTTCGATGGTGTTGTTGTTTTTTTTTCTGCTCTGAAATTTATGGTTTTGTACACGGCTGTCGTTAATGTCGATATCGTTGATGGCCGTTTATGTTGATGATGCAGTTTGCGACATTACTGAATACACTAGAGATTCATTCAAATCACTCAATATAATTCACAAAATTCGACGCACTCTTTATGGTCCCTCTCATACACATACGCATAGTTGTTCGGAATTAAGCACTGTTTTTCATGCACGTAATTGGCAAAATTGCTTCGAATTCGTTATATGCTATAGCAAATCTAGTTTTGCGCGTGCGATGCGCAGTGCTCTTAAATAAATATTTTCCAATTTGGTGAGCAAAGAAGAAAGAGAAAAAAAAGGACAAAAGATGGTCTGTGCCTCCCTTTCTCTATGCCATGAAACAATCTCATTTTTTCGGTATCCGTTTGTTTCGTTCATCTTTGGCGTTGGGATCACAACGTCGTAGAAATTTATGTATATCGCTATTGACGCAAACGAGTGCTCATTATTTGACTTGAGTACATATTTATGCGTGTGCACTTTGCCAAATATAAAAAAAACTTTCTATATAAAGTCTATGTTATATTTTGTGAAAGATATTCGTATACAACTCTTTTCTTCTTATTATTATTATAGTCGATGTTTTTCCGTTTTTTGACAATTCAAATGAAATTCAATGTGCTTTCTATTCCTCTTTGTGCTTCTTCAAGAGAAGAAAACCCATAAGACATTGTTCCTTCAACTTTAGAAGAAGAAGAAGAAGAAGCAGAAGAAAAGGAAGAAAGAGCAGAACTAATAACCGTTTCCATAGCGTCAACGCATAAAATTATTGTGAAACAAATTAAGATTAGGCGTCGCAGATAAAAAAAAAACATACACACACACACCGAAGACATTTTCATTGGCGTAAACATCATTCATTCTTTTCCACGATGTGTCTGCCTTTTGAATCTTTAATTCATCGCGTTTCGACAATATGACTTTCTTGTGGCATGACTATATGGGTTTTCACCACAAACCAGGGCATATTTTCAATGATTTTCAAAATTATTCAGTCGACGTATAGATATAAATGTACAATAATAATAATAATGATGATGATGATAATAACTAAATGAAGGGTGGTCGGAAAATAGTGGATAAGAACAATGACAAAATGATTATTCAAAACACAATTCTCATATACACATACTTGGTGTAGTTGGGGATTTTTTTTAATCGTGCTAGATGAGATGACAGCATCGATGTCATAGAGCATATTTTCCGAATCGTTGTTGACGAGCACAAGCTGCTTGACAGAAAACATTGCATACACACTTTACTCGAATCTTTTTCTCGTGTCTTGTCGTTCCGCACTGTTCCGCACTTGTTTATTTCTTCTTCTTCTACTTTCTCACTCTCTTTTCTTTTCTTTTTTTTTTTGCACACAATAAATAGTATAAATTCCAACCGAAACCGTTTGTTATGCTGTATGTAGCGTTTTTCACGTTTTTATTTTGCTTTTGTACTAGTAACAATCATGGTAAACACTGAACCAGAACACATATACACATCCACTAAACGAAGAACTAAACAATTTACTTCAGAACCATTTCAATTTTTACTTTCTTCGTCCTTTTTATTTGCTCTCTCGCTCCCGCTCACAAAACGCACAGCGTATAATTATGTACACACCGCGTCGTGCTTGTTGTAGCACAACCAAACATACACTCAAATCTACATAAATTTTGATGAGCTGGTAGATTTTCTTCTGTCGTTTTTCTGCTTCTTCTCTTCGGTTTCTTTTTTTTTTTTTTGCACAAAAATTCCCTTTTTCCCAATGCCCTTTTTTCAACTGAATTTTCCTTCTTCTACTGGTTTTTTTCGCTTCTTGATTTTCCTATTTAGTTATTTTTGTTGTTGTTCTATTCTTAATTTTCACAATGCGTCGTCGTGTATAGCAATGGTAATTTTGTTTGCAATGATGATAACTGTAACTGTTGTATTTTGTGAATGCGGTTTTTTTGGGTTTGGTTTTTATTTATAATTTTTTTCTTCTCTTAAGACAAAAAACAAAATAGATGAGTTTCACTTATTCATCATTCGTTGTCGGCTTGTTTTATTCTTCTTCATCGTCATCACCATCATCAACATAAATGGTATGTTTGTTTTTGGTAAAATTTGATCTTATTTTCATCGTTTTGTTTTATTTTATGATGGTACACTCCAGGGACACCTCAACAATAAAATCAAATTATGAATCATGCACACACAATTTGAAACGGCACACGGGATGCGAAGCCAATTGTGGACAATGTAAATATGAGACGATAAATCTTTTTTTTTTTGCAAAAATATTCAATTGTGAAATTAAATCGTTTTTTAGTGTCGAAAAACCGCATCAAAGTAAAGAAAATCACAATGTGTTCGTTTTTCTGATTTTTCTACTTTCATCACTATCACGATAAATCAAATTGTTTCGACTTTTTTTTTGTAAACCTAACACCCCTTTCTCTTTCTCTCGCTCTCTTGATTTTTTTTTATTGTTATACAAAATGCTATGCTTTACACTTTTGTTATCCAATAAAATAATATCGATGCTTCAGTTCAGTTCACCTGTCCACCTGACACAATCTTGGTTACGGTATACCAGTCCGATAGGGTTCAGTGTTGCCGCAATAAAACGATAACTTGCAAAAAACACATACTCAATTGCATCCGATATGCAATACAACGAATAACTGTGTATTCCAACAGTCAAGAATATATAGTTTTTTATTCATTCAGTTATTTGTTTTCAATTCACTACTACCATAGTTTAAGGAAAATAACTCGCTTTTTCTCTTTCTCTTTCTGTCCCTGTCTCTTTCATCGCGCGAGATCGTGTACGAGAAAAAAAAACAACACACCAAGAATGCATACAATGTACAATTCCACGTCGTTCGCAACCGACAAACAGGGGCAAACTAAATGTTCCGACGAGAGCTCAGATGAGCGATAGGCACATGAAGCAAAGGAAATGGATTCAACGTCCAAAAATAACAACAAAACGAAGAAGATGAAGTACAGCGGGAATGGAACGAAGAAGAGGAATAAAAAATCGCATATACACAAGCGATTTCTGTTTTCGCTTCATATACAACGACTGTGTATGTGCATGTATATAAGTGCCCATTGTGCTTTACGCAGCTACGATAAAATTACAGGCTGTGTGCATGAACTGTGTACGATCGAACGGAGCGAACGAGCGCATGTAGTTGTGTGTATCTGTATGTGTACAAATATTCTAGGGCACATGTTTGTGTGTGTTCGTTCAGAATGTATTCAGAATTCACGCGCAGCACATTCACACAAACAAGCACAAAAAATACAGTTAAGTTAGAACAAATTCAGCAATAGCAGCAGCAGCAGCCGCAAATCGTCAGTAGCACATTAATAGCTTTGAATGGTACCATGCCATCGCAGCAACAACAGCATTGGGAGAAAAATGGACATTTTCGTACAAAAAATTCATGGGTACCCGTCGAGAAAATATTTATTGCAATAAAATTAATACACCAAACGGACGACAAGCACCAGTTCAGATATCGAGATCCGAGATCTCACATAATTTTTCATACATTTACAGAATCACGAAGCGCGCTTTTTTCTTAAATATTATAATTCTTCTTCTTCTTCGCTGTGTTATGTATTGTGGGGTGCGTTGGAGAAGCGATACTAGTGCAAAAAAAGCGAATGCGCTCTTACCAATTTGTACATGGGATCACCGAAACTTATGCGTGTTAGTAGCATCCGAATCGACTAAGGTTAAAGTCGCCCAACGGCCACATCGAACGACTCAGTAAAATTTGTACTGGTCGAATGTTAATTCGGTATGTGCATCAATAAAAGGGAAATACAGCAACAACCACAAGAATAGCAACACAAATCGCAACTCGCACATCCATTTTCTCCTTTACATTTTTAAGAACTGATTCATTTTCTTTTTAACTTTTATGCACGACGCACAAAGAAACAGCAACTGCTTTAAAAATCATTCATTCGACAAAATTGTGAGATGAGCGGGCGAAACGTTGCTGGTTTACTACAGCATAAGCATATAAAATACGAATGGAGCGACAAAATCATGATTATGATATTTCCACGGAGAGAATTGTGTCTGGGGAGCGTGTGTGTTTGTGTGTGCGTGGTATGTCTATGTCTCTCTATGTACTGTATTTGAGTTCATGTCTGTTTGTAAAATATTACAAGCATCCCTAAAATCATATTTATCTGCTGCTATATCTTGATTTTCGAATTGAAATCATTCAGATAAATACCCATTCCATAAACTTTGAACTGGCGACACCACATACACACATTTCGTCTTCAAATTTCTAATTTCTTCACTCACAAAACTATCTAAATTAGTTAATTAAGATAATTTTTCGTTTGGTCCAGACACCGCCAACGCAACCGCCGCCATCGTCATCATTTACTGATTTTTCCATAAAAACATGCTGCGTCAAGCATGTTCATTGTTCACACAGTATACAGCTGTCGGCCAAGCTTACTCTTGTTATTCATTGCTTTTGTTTTATATGAAAATAAACGATAAATTATTTAAATTAACGCACATAATTAAAATGAAAAAGAAGATAACGAAATCAGTGCGTATGTGAGAGACAGAGGGATCGACAAAAGTCTATCTAACACCTTATATGGAAACATAGTTTTTTTTTTTGCTTAAGCTCAACAAAAAGTCAACAAATACGCACGCACATATAATTGCGAATGTTTCGACTTATGTACTATGTCATCGAAAATTTGAAAGCATACTCTCTCCCTTTTCCGTTTATGTATTCGTGAGCATGTATATATATATAAATATATGTAATGAAAAGAAGCTTTTTTCCCGTTCATCTTCAAAGGATGTTGGATATTGGGTGTTATGTTGTGCTATTGCTGCGTCGTTGTGCGACTCAATTTCGTTTCGATTTTCGATACAAATTCCCCGTTACAAACACTTTCTCCCATTTTTCCGTTCTGCTAAAAGTACTCGATGAAAGTGTTGTATTCATTTGGATATTAAAGGGCTTTATAGATATTAATAATGCCCATAAAATTGGACGCTTCGTAGAGAGGCCGTGCCAGACATTCGAAACGAGAGACTGTGAAAGTGTGCACACAGTTCAATTGTTACGTGCATATATTCCATTTTTATTAATTATTTTCGATTCGCATCGATTGCCAAGTATCAACACGAACTATGAATCAGATGATTCAATCGAAAATGAGGAAATCTAATGAAAGAAATAAAAAAAATAAAAAAAATAAACAAAACTGAACGACTATGGTTATTTCGAATGTTCACTTGTTTATTTCGGTTTTCGGAGGGGTGTGCGATTTGATATTTATTAAGTGTGCATGTACGCAAGCACAATTTTCTCAGTCATATTAAATCATTAAATTGACGATGAATACAGTCCCATCGAATAAGCAAATTTTTTATTTTTCGAAAGTTCGGCAAACGTTTTAATGTGTAACGGCTGTGCAGTATGTTATGTGTTGTGTCAATTGTGTATGCAAAATTGAAATGGTTGATCATACACATTGCATATAGACATTTTCCTCCATTGGAACCGATTAATTTTGTGCACGTCAGCGTCGTCGCAGTTCAATAGATTTCATTCAGAAGAAAGAGAGAGCGAGAGGATAATAATAATTCGAGTGCGCATTAAAAATGATTCATTTTCAGTGGATGGTAAATATTGCGCTCAAGAAAAAAATGTGCGCGTTGAATCGTAATTCGGTTTTGATGTTGCACCTATGTGTGATGTATAATTCAACTTTATTTGAGATAAACTCAACGTTCGCCTCACCAGTTCTAGATAAATACAAGGGGATTTTCGGCATAAGCACGAATTCGAAAGGCATCAACATTGCGGATTAGGCTGATTCTGTTAAATTTAACCGAAAGTCATTGGTGTATACTTTGCAAATGTTTGACATTTCACGTATATATACCGACCGAATAAAAATGAAACAAACAAATAAAATTTCGTCGAAATTGGTATACCTTCCATACCGCTATATAAACAGTAATCGCCATTCAATATCGACAAAGATACGAGCTTCAAACTGGCAAGCTGCTTTTTAGACATTCCAATTGCAATGTTTTTTAGTGTACTGTTGCCGTACTTTGGGTTGGTTGTGTTTTTAAAGCATCATCCCGTGTGCTATGGACGTTGAGAAATACCGTACGGTTTTTTTTCCCTTGCCTTCTTTATATGTCCGTGTATGAGTGTGAGCGCTCTCGTCAAAAAAAGTACCATGTATTTCAAACCATCCGTGTTTAATTTGAGTTGTTGTAGCTACATGGAACTCAACGTTGTTGTTCATATATCTATCGAAAGTACTTTGAAAATTTTCTTGAAATCAGTTTCAATGTACCCTACCGCACACAGTATCGAAAACAAATGTCCAAAGTGTATGTTGATGTACTTCACACAAATACACTGCTACCTACCAACACACAAACCCACATATATATACACAAATACTGTTGATTGCCACAATAAATAGTTTGGTCGCTGTACCGAGACCAACACTGGAGTCCGAAAATGATGGAAATTGTGTGTTTGAGTTTGTGTGCGTGCATGCTTTCCATCTTGTTTGAAAAGCATTTCAAACATTTTTCCATTCAGCTTTAAAGCGCCATCCAATCCATCGGAGGAGAATGAGAGAAAATCCATCTCTCAGGAAAACATCGTCGTTGTTGTGTTTATTCGTCGAACGTAAACACATTATATTTTCCATATTATTTATGGTTGAGGACAACTTCGATGCATATATGTATGTATTATTCACAATATTTTGCCATTGGAACTATGTGAGATGCGTATTCAAATTGCTATTCGAAATATTAATATTTTTTTCTTTGAATTTCTTTGTATGTATGCTGTTTTGATTTCTTTTATCGCTTAAAATGTTTATGTGATTTTCAGCTTTGTCAACAGAAAAATATATTACCATTGTAATTTATAATTTCAAATAAAAACGAGAATGAATTGACACACAGTGAATTTGAATAAAGTTTTTTTTCTTTATCTAAATTATTTATTGAAATTTTTTCAATTCTTTATTATTATCAAAGGTATCATTTTGAATATTTGACTTTTATAACAGATAATAATGAAAAAAAAATAAGAACATGAAATGTCGAAGATTTTCGGCAGAATAAAAGAAATGTTGAGCCAAAGATCAACGGTTTAATGTCTTAAATGAAGTGCAAAAAGCCGAATCCATCAATAAACTGTGCTTGATAGATTTTAATATAAGGTCATAAAAAAAGTATCCACTCGATGCATATATGCCGTATTGAGATGAAAGAAAGCGAGAATTAACCCACTTTTGCACAGATTTGGCAGAACTGATTGGGTGGTAAGAGAGTTTCATCGATTAACTTCAATTTCATTTGCATTGAAACGATATCAATTAATCATCGAAGGGTTCATCAAGCATATGCAGCATTGTTTATTAAATTTGTCGCTTCATTTTGCATGTGAATCTCAAAAAATTGCTTTCTCAACGTATTATTTGCTAAATTGTAAGTGTACAATACTAACATTCTCTATTTCTCTCGAGCTTTGTCATCAATCTGTACACATTACAGATTGTCTTATTATCAAAAAAGTAATTGTATACTTGAGTTCACCTAAAGGTGTCTTGAACTCCGCCATATGTATGTTTATAAGCTCATTCATTCCCAATATTGCCTTTTCTATGTCGTGTGTTGGGGATACATTCGTTTTTTTACACTAAACCTCACCATCTCTCTACTCTTCCTCTCTCTATCTCGCTCTCTCTCTACCATACCGGTGATGGAAGATTGTGTGTGTATTGATATGTTTGCACTTATGTATTCATTAGGCTATGTGTACGAATATGAGAGATAATCAATGTTTGATTTGTTGACACCATGCAGATTTCTTTTGTTCAATGTGCTCTTTATGCTTCATTCAATGTTGTCTACGTCAGTATCTCTTCTTCAAGAGATTCTTATGCTTGGGCAAATATTGTTTGATTTGATGTTATTCTATTGCTATTGTCGTTTGTCTACCATTTTATTTTTCGACCATTATCGAAAACAACAGTTCAACAATTTTATTTCCTCTGCAATCATTATGGTACATTGATGACGATGATGATGATGAAATGATACTGAATATGCCACATGTATACGCTGCATTGCTACTGTTTTGGCCTATGTCATTGCATAGAATATGGTTTTTATTTAAATTTTTCTCTTTTACTCTGTTTTTTCTTCTTCTTCTTCTGTCATTTCGTACTTTTATATTCGGTCTTCTTTTTTGTTATCATCTCTCGTTTGCTTTTTCGTAGTGTCTTGTCTCTTCCGTTCATCTATTCTACCTATAGAATTAAGTTGTTGTGTACACTGTACATGTTTTTCATGTTTTCTGACGTGTACAAAGTGTGTGAGCATTCGGTTCACATTTGGTTGGCTCGCATTTATGTAAAAATTATATACTTACATAAATATATTTTTTCTGCTTTTTGTTTGTTATTTTTGTTGTTGTTGTGGTTATATATGTGTTTTTTTTTAGTATTCATTTCATTTTAGGGCTGTTTATTGCAGTTGGGACGAATGATTTGGATTCATACGTATGCGAATACTCTTGTATATACCCATTCATGCTCTGTCTCTTTTACACGCACAATAGTAAAACTCTTATAATAAGTGTGCTTTCAGCAGAGTTTGATTTACAAGCATGTAAATTTAATTTTTATTTATTGTCGATGCTTTGTTTGACATTCATATAACCACATCTTTTGGCTATCACCTCAACGTCTTCAATTTCCATATTCGGCATAATTTTTTTTTCTCTTCATTTCACGCCATTCAAAATGTGCACATTCAGTTCTTTTTTTTTTATCTGTTACTCTCTCCCCCTCTCCTTCTTACAACTCAGATGAATAATGGTGTTATGTAAATGAAAAGACGAACAAGTAATGAAAAAAAAAAAAAAAAACGAGGAAAATATGAAGCGGAAAAGCTCACAACACAGCATATGAAGAGCATGCATTGTACATAAAGCTTATCTCAACAGCAACAACAATATCGACATAATCGGCTGTGATAAAAAAAAATCACGTAAATTATTAATTTGGCAAAGAAGAAAAAATTATTATTGATGAAATTACTTTGGTGTTTGTGAGCAGCTCTTCAATTGTAATATATCGGTAATGATGGCGATGAAATGGAATTGTTCTATATATCCATGTATGAGGGTGTTTGGCCAAGAATGAATTTGGTATTCATATAAAATTCGGAGATAAAATTGTGTCTATTATATAATTCTCGCGCGTATTTATATCAATCATAAACATGACCATTTATAAGAAAATAGTCAAATCATAATAATAAAGATAAGAAATAAAATTGACGTTAGTGCGACCAGAGAGTCATTTATTTTGAGGCAAGTAAACGGTATACATTTTTGTAGAGGACATTTCCAAAACTGATATAGAATGGAAAAAAGGAAGAATGAAACATAAGTCAAAAAAAGACATTCTATTGCAATTAATATTGTTCGTGGTTTAACATTTACAATTTTGACCTATTAGACGTAAGAAGTCTAATGCGACCATGCAAAAATGATATAAATGTATAATATGTGCGCATGACATTCCTATATGGTAAGCCAAGAGAAATGGAAAACACACACAGAGAATGAGAAAACCGACAACATAACACGACAGAGCTATTCATTCGATTTATTATATGGTGCATGTGCATTTTCATCAATATCATCAATGAAAAGAGCTAATTTTATTGCTTTAACATTAAACATTTTAACCAATTCAATTTAATAGAAACTTTGTAAGACATTTTTGCATATTGAGAATGTTGCGGTCACATATTTTGGCTATTAAAATAGATTGAGTATAAATATAAATTCTTTAATTCACTTCGGAATTTGTGGAAAAATCAAAATCACTGTCTTGTTGGATTTTATTGCTTAAATTGTTCTGGTAGCCTGGTTGACTGCCACTGTCATCGGTGTCACTTTGCAAATAGTTTGGAATTCGAATATCAGCAGCGGTGACGGTATCGACGGTAGTTGGTTCATTGTTTGCTGAATATTCAATCGATTGTTGTTGTTGTTGTTGTTGCTGCTGTTGTAGTAGTGATTCTTGATTATTTTGTTCAATGCCAACCGAACTTGAAGTGGGCATCTCATGTGAATTATCAAAATTGACATTTGTCGAGTAGGCTTGATTTTGATCGACACCATCGTATTCGGATGTATAATAATTTTCTCCTGGTGAAACCGTATAGTATTCATCATCGTGTTTTGGATGTGCTTGTAACGTTGATTCCATTTGATATTCCTGATAACCATCAGCAGGTAAGCGGCTCATTGAACTTCCATCGTTTCCAATCACATCATTTGCATAGTATTGTAGATCCTATGGCGACAAATGCAAACATACAAACATTCAAAATATGCTCTCATGTGAAAAGGATAGAGAATATAAAAAAAAACCATTGAAGCAAAAAAGCAAAGACGAAAAAAACGAATATCGAAATAACAGAGTCGGTAGCATTTTAACGTTATTCTTACCTATTTAAGGATATAAAGCATATCATTACAATACATTTTTTGATATAAATAAGAATCAGAAATGTGCGAATTCAACGAATTGAAAGCGATTTCTTGTGTCGAAAGTTTAGCAAACGTAATCTCAACCCGACCCCCATAAAAAAAACCTCAATATGCTATCAATGCGGTTGATGATAACTGTTATTACAATTTTTTCTATATTTAAACGTATTCGTTCTATTTTTTCCCATTAAGTGTGCGTTTGCATTCAGTCGCCGTGCTTAATGTCGAAACACTTTGCATGTTATTTTCCAAAAACTCTGTCTTTAGTTATGTTAAAAATTGTTTACCTCTTGCTGTTGTTGTTCCTGCTGTTGATGTGGTGGTGGTGGGGGTTGTTGTTGTTGTTGTTGTTGTTGTTGAGCTTCATATTGTTCGTACTGATTCATTTGTTCTGGATAATAGTATTCTTCATTGCCGTACAAATTTCGGTTGGCATCCGTTTCAGCTTGATATTGATTGCCATCGTATTGATAGTGAACATCATTTGGTTCAATGCTTTGCTGAATATTTGCTTGCGGTGAATATTCGTTTTGAAATTGTTGCGATTCTTCTGTGTTGCCTGTGTAATATACATCATTGCTTGCTTCAACATTTATTGAATTCGGGGTCTCATAGAATTGTGCTTGTTCGTCTTTCTTATAGTTGTTATGAGGATCATCGGCCCATGTTACGGTTTTGCTAATGATATCAAACATTGAATAAAATAAAAAAAAAATCATGTCAGCATTCAAATAACCTTACATTGCTTCCAAAAATCAATTCAAAATTGTTGAAATTAATTTTTAAGTATAATTTTTATGAGAAAATACCTGTGCGTTCCGGGAGCACGAATTTTATCGGTTCCATCATCGAATTGTTTCAATTGCACTTCATTCATCGGTGGTTCGACCACATCGTTCAAATGAAGATTTTCAAATGCATTTTCGACAAAAGTTTGGTCATTTGTTTCGTACGTGGAATATGGTGCATTATTATCGTCCGCATAATATGGACTGATATCACTCTGATTCACATCACCACTATCAATATGGCCATACTCATTGTCATGCATAGTCTCAACAGGAGATGCTGCCATATTCGATGATGATATTTGCGGTTCATTATAGCCAACAACAACATCGTCATTTTCTGAAACATCTTCTATTTTAACCGTTGATATTGCAGCTGTTCGATCACTATCGTCCACTGAGTTTCGTTTATTTTCTTGACCACTACCAACAGCCAAACTATTTGTATTGAACGATGTTGTTTCAAAATTATTTCGATTATTATCAGGTGTTACATTCACTGGATCGTCACGATAATCGATGTTTGGTGAAGATTGCAGATAAAATGGTTCAATGTTTGTAATATTTTTTTGTAAATCAAGTAAATTAGCTGCTACACTATATCGACGACGTACATTTGCTGCATTTGATTTTTTTTCCAATTCTCTATCATCGTCGGCTGGAACATCGATGCTGGACCGTCGTTTATCACAAACTCGTGTGGGTTTTTCCTGGTTGTCACTTGAAATGGAAAAGAGCGTTCGTTCGGCCAATTGAGTTGTCGTTTGTGTGGGAGCAATAGTGTTGGTAGTGGTTTTATTAATCGATGGATTTTGATAGTATTTATCATCTTTGGTGCTAACGTAATCATACTGTTTTTCATCATTTGGCATTTTATTCGATTTCGATGTTATAACAGATTGCGTAATATCGTTCGATGAAAAATTATTACTTATATTTGTTGACGGCAAACGTGCCAAAGATGATAAATTATCAACATCTGCCAAACAAGAAGTGTTCATCGATTTTCTTGGGTCGATTGATTCAACACGTGGCAAGATGGTGTAATCATCAAGCTTCTTTTCAAATGAATACTCATCATTAACAGTATTACTTTTCCAGGGTATGTTTATCGTGTCGGTTGTTCGTTTTTCATCAAAATTTCTATCAATGGCACCGCTTTCGCTTGGATTGATTTCATCCGTGCGCCCATTTCTTGTGTTTGTATCATAAATTGATAGTTCATGCGTTCGATTTCGCAATTGTTGATTGTATGAAGACGCATAATTTGGTATTACTTCATTCAGTTGATGTGGCAAGGTCAATAAATTGGCGCCAATACTCGAATTTAATGGTTGTGCTGCTTTTTGACAGACACCCGAATCATCAACGAATGAAAACTGATTTTTGGCGCTTGAATAATACGAATTATGTGGTTGATTTGCATATTCAATGGAAGAATAAGATTGACTGTTTGTAAATTTTTGTGGAATTTCATCAAACTGTTGCGATTGCCGTGCATCGTTTGCAAATTTAGTTAGCGAAAAATCATGTGCCATTTCATGTTGTGGCATTGCAGACGCATAGTTTGATCGTGATGCAATCGTACTGTCCAAATATTTGCTACGATTTAATCCGTCGCATATTGAATGCGAATTGATTGAATCATTTATACTTGAATTCAAAAGATAGCCAATGTGTTCGTTTCTCGATGGATTATTATTACTTGGCAACTCTTTAACATGGAGTGTCTGTTTGTTATCAAATATGGTTTGAGTCGGTGCCGTTGTCATTTGTTGTTGCTGTTGCTGTTGATGTTGCTGTTGCTGTTGATGGATGAGTGGTTGATTTTCAAAATTTCGAACATGAGGTAGATTACCACTCGACAAATGGAACAGTTCGCTGAATAATGGTGCATTTGTATCATTTTGGAAAATTGGCATTAAAGGTAAAATTGGATATGGTATTTCCTTTACAACGTTTGCTATTGGTTGCGTTAGATTCGATGGTTGTATTGTTGACGTTGTTGTCGCCGCTAATGTACTCATTGATTTATCATCATCATTGGATTTGTGATAAACTGGCTCTTGCACATCAGCAAAATATGTCGGTCTATTGCATATCAATGGTCGCGAGTTGTCACCACTCGTACAATTGATAATACGATCATGGTGATATTCATATGACGGTGCTGGTAAACAACGCGTAACATTCGAGTACAACACATTTGGATACATTAAATGTTGATGGAAATACGCATTTCGTCGCCAATTATTTATAACGATTCGCTCTTGTTGCGTCTGAAAATATAAAATAAATTTATAAAGCTATTTAATGCTTGCCACTTTAAATAAATGATTGATTCTTCCATTCAGGAGCCTTGAAAATGCCATTTTTCCCCTAATACGTGCAAAATTCAATGGAAATTTTCAACAACAAAAAAAAAAACTCCATATAGTATAAAGCAATGAGAATGTGATGCCAAAGTTGAAATAAACTTTTACAAGTATTTTCAGAACTGTTCATTAAATAAAGAGAACTGTTTGAGGAATATAAAAGAAGTAGGGCAATAAGGATTGAGAAAAAAATAAGAACAAGAAATATGGAGAGAGGAAGAAAAAAAATGTTGGAGTCTTACCTTCAACCTTTTTAACCGTTCTGTGTTTGTTGCCATAACAGCTGCCTTGGATTGAACCTCCTCCAGCATTTGCATTAGTTCTTCGTTGCGATTCAATCGTTTACGCTCATGCTCTAACAATGTATCATATCGTGATTTATGAATAGATGCCGACTTTTCGCTACAATATCGAATTATGAGAAGAAAATTGAAAAAAATTACCATCATTTTGATAGTGTAAGCGCAAACATTGATTAAAATTATGTGGCGAGCTCAAGTTATGTTGCGTTTGAACGCCATTTTCTGCCCCATCTCTTTCTTTTTTTGTTGTGTTGTTGTTGCTCTATATATAAAAATGTTTAATGTGGGGCACACAGGTTCAATAAGGGAAAATTTATGTTGTGGATTGTTGCTAATATTAGGTAATATGCATCGAATAATTTGAGTCATCGTCATGGTACATAATAACATGCATACTGTGCTATGTATTTGACGAAGTTTCAATTCTATTGAATGTTTCTATTCGCAACTATCAATTCATTTTACGGCCAGTAATAAATTTTATACTGTAATAGAATAAAAAAAAAGAGAAAAAAACCACCTTACCATTCATTGCGCTCTTTCATCAATCTTTGAAATTTAATTTCCAATTCCTTTCGAGCATTCTCACTGTAATTACACAAAATCTATTAAAATCGAGTACATTTTCTTCAAAAGTTTTCGGTGTGATTGATTAAAAGGAGATTCAATGCATATTGTTCGTAAAACCCATGATGTACATTTGAAAATTTAATGTTGTGAGTGTGCAAGCATGAAATTGTGATCGAATCGATTGTACGGTATTCGTAGTGAGTATGCCTGTGTGTCTATGTGCGTGGTTTCAATGTAATGCAATTCGACTATAATGAGACATGAGACCTCTCTCAAAGAAACTTATCGTTTCTTTTTCGCATTTAAATTTTATGCATCTCTCGCAACGAATCCAAGTGAATAAGATCAGTAACTGGATGAAAAACCCATTCAAACACTTAGAATGTTGCACATTTGCATACCAAAATAAGCAAAGCGGATTTTGGTTAATTGTTTATGGTAGAAAATTGATCATTACATGGAAACATATTGTTGCAAGTGAATGCTTACCTCTTTTTCACTTTGTTTTGCAGACGCTCCAACTTTTGCTTGTACCGTTGATAGTCGGTGCTGTGCAACATTATTTCTAATTTCTAGTTGTCGTTGGCTTTACTTTCGATTCGTGTCACTCTTCTGTACTCTCGTCTAATTACAATCTGCATCCCATTGAATTGAATAAACAAAATACATATTATTTGATAATAGTTAAAATTCAAAGGCAAATTAGTAACTGCATATATTTTCATTTGTAATTTTACTAAATTGTCCTTCTATTGGTTGCGTACCGTATTTTGATGAAGTGAAAATGGCTCATTTTAAAAAAAAGTCAAACCAAACGAAAATGCAATTAAAATGTTATTGATTTACATTTCTTCCAAATGAGTGATAGCATAAATACCATTTGACATTTTTAAATAAAATTCATATCAATGATATTTGGTAAATACCATTTTTGTATATGTTTAGTGATTGATAATTTAAATTTGGTTACATGTGCAACTCATTTTATTTGAGTAAATAATCAATATTCAATGAAGTTTGAAACGCAATTTTTTTTCATTCCCTTTTTACTGTAATCTAAATGGATTAAATTTGAAAATTCTTCATATTATTTTAATTAGCCCCTGTTTTTTTGATGTTGATGTGGAGGGAGTTGGGTAAAATTGGTTAAACAACAAATACTATGTAAACAAGTGCACTTTTTGCCATCAAGTATTATATATTCATTTAAACTAAGATTAAACTAAATCGTAATTTCACTTCATGATGCATACAAAACAGCTCTATGTTTGCTATTTTTCAGCAACAGATGCCCTGCTTGACGTGTGGCATAAGGTTTGTACATGAATTTCTTTCAAAAATTTATTACATTTCTCTCTATCTCTTTCTGTTGCTCTTCATCTTATCCCCCTGAAGAGATATTACTCGCTCGCATATAAAAAAAATTCATTTCAAACTTCAGTTTTGCATACATAAACAATACTCCCATGCCAATTGTGATGCATATATTTTATCTGTGCCATGAACATTGTTGAAATTAAATTTCATTGTACTCTTGGATAAAATGTCATATTCAAGTAGTAAATCGGCTCGAGGTTGTGTAAAAAAGAAAAAAGAAACACGAATAACTTTAATAAGTAATTGAATTTGATGCGCAGCAAAGCGGTTTTAAAATGGATCACATCGAGAATTTCAGTTATTTAATTTTTACAATACACAACGCACTCAATTTCTCCCCATATTTTTTTTGTTCCTTCGCCATCATCACTGCTAAATGAAAATGGACAAAAAAAATCGGAGATAAATTATTTCAATGGTACCCGGTGAGAATAGTCGACTCATTTCTGCTAATTGAAGCCAAAATGAGGACAAAATGACATTGTAAGTGAAATCCCGTTTTTTTTATTCAATTTCAAAATTGAACAACTTTTTTTTTAATCTTTAGCACTGATAAAAAGTAATAATAATATTGTCACATAAAATCAGAAAAAAGAACCGTACACAAACCAATGACAATTAATCATATCTTGAACAAAAACACACAATATAAAACTATACATTTGCACGAGTGCGGCTTTCTTCAATGACTGCACAACGTGAAATACACGAAACAATATATTGTTCTATCCTCAAACACTAAATAACTACCACAATATTTACCGTTTGTTATACTATAAACCTGCGAACGATTTCTTTCCAACAGTTTTAACGAACATTTTTTATTCATTCAGTTTTATGTTTCGCTTACGTGTGTGTACGTGTTGTAGTTTTTCAAAAAAAAAAATGTATCATAAAATATACTCGGTTACAAATTGTAACTTACAATAAGTGTTCATATATTGGTGAATATGATACACATGTTTCTTGCATACGTTTCCAGTGTGCTGTTTGCATGTACAATATTGTTTTTTTTTCGTCGGTCGGAAAAACATGCGATACAATTATTATGAATCAAACAAACAAACTTCACTGGAAAGTGAAAACGGGAATAAGTACATGCCGTCTGACACCTTGCGATTAATATGTATATGGGAGTGGATGAAACGAACAGAATACAGAAAACAATAACACTTAAACCAGTCTATATTTAAAGAGTGAAATCGAAAGGAGTAAAGTGTTGGTATAGCGAATTCGAATGTCAAAAACATGTGTATACAAATTTTTCCGTTTGAAAATGCCCTATAGGGAATATACATGCACTTCAAGGCGATTGTCATTCACATTGAAACAATATACTTGACATTTATAAAGCGTTTTTGTAATTTTTTTTAATTTTATTTTAGAAAATCATTTATTCATTTTCTCATTTCAACTCAGCCACAATTAAAACGATGCCATTTATGATGGTTTTGCAATAGCACATTTTGTATTTACGATTGGGGTGTCAAAGACTATCAATGCTATCAATGTCTGCATGTGTGTGACACTTTTTAAATTGTGCGTGTGAAAAGGACAGGCAAATGAAAGATTGAAATAGGGAGAAAGAGAGCTAAAAACGATTGTTTATAATATTGTGAAATATGTGATTATCCTGGTTGCAATCGTGTTTGTTCGTTTTCAAATTTGTATGTACCGTGAGCGGTAATCACACATGCACTTCACACGTGTAGAAACAATTCAATGTGCATCATTCATACCAAAAGCCCATTCAATTTAATAATTTCATTTTGTTCGGCATGTTCCTTTTCCTTCTTCTATTGTTTTTCTCTCAATAACTTTATCTTCATTTTCAAGTTTTGTTGTTGTTTTATCTACCAGTGTTTTGGCTCAGCCAGTATTTTGTCTTTGGTTCGAATATCTGATGACGACAGTTTAAGTTTGTCCCCGATGTTGCTTTGAAACACATTGAATTCGTGAATAGAATCGAATATATTGCGAACGTTTCCACATTTAATTATCCTGCTATACATATATAATGCATACATGCATAGATAGATATATATTGGTTCAAACAAACAAACAAAACGAAATGTTTGTTTTGGTAAGGTTTATGTGAACAGGAAGCCGGGGCTACAAAATGCCACTCGTTTCGGACGTTTGGATGAGTCAATAGAGAGAATAGTGTGTCTTTGTTGCGTATGCAACGGTGAGCACATTTACGAAAGAATTCAAACCAATCGAAATGACCAGGTGTACGTTTTCTGTTGAACGTTGTGGGCCAGTCGACATTCAAAAGAAACCATGTGGTGTTCAAACTGAACAACGTTACGTTTTAATTGTCTTTTATTAGGATGTGTTTTGTGTATTATGCTTTTGTGTGGATGTGTGACGATAGCCGAATATTTTTCTTCTTTTCTGGATTTAATGTATCCATCGAATTTGTTCAATGGACCAGGACAATTGTTATGCGGTTGAGTCATGATTTGAAAACGGGCATGTAATCTATATAGAACATTTCTAGTATATACATTCGTGTGGAATTATTGCTGTAAATATTGAAATTCCATTGCCTTATATTCTACGTATGGTAAAAGTAGCATCAACCAAAAATCATAGCCATAACATATATTTTTTTAAGAGGGGGTTTTCATCTTATTCCTCTTGTTTTTCTTGTGTGTGAGTATAAATCGTTGGTCGGTTAATCGATAAATGGTTCAACAAATATGGCACAATTTTCAAAATGAAACGCACAATACGTCATTCCACCGAGAATCAGTTGAACATTTCTTTATTTCAAATGTTTTCCCAAATGAATTTACAATTTATTTATTTTGTGCATGGCATCGATTCGGTCAAATGTATATTTATTTGTTTGTTTGCGTATATCATAGCATATAACGGGATCTCGTGAGCTAAACAAATGGCATAATGTGCGGTGCACAATGCATTCAATGCATCATATCGGAGGTCATCAAGTGGACAATTCCCCGAATGTTACTCAATGTGTCTGTCTAGAGAGAGAGTGTGTTTGTGTATATATGCTGTGTTGCACTCTGTGTGTGTGTGTTCAAAATGACTCATTGCATGCTTTCTGGCAAATAAGTTATGCCCCGAAAATAAAATATCATGCAAGTCACAATACAGATTTTCCACATATTTGTGCCTAAATACACATGACGTTGAAATGAAAAATCTGTAGTCATGACTTAGAGCCTACAATCAAATTTGATTTTGAAATACACTTTCTATCCCATTCGGCCAATGATGTATATAAACAGGCTAAACTCTCTCGCTACGCTCATGCACAAATGTGTTATGGGCTAAATAATTCGCTTAGCCACATTGGATTTCACTATCGTACCACTGACTTAATGGTACTGACCATTTTCAAAAACCGTTTCCGTACTGATTGATGCCATTCGATGCGATCATAGCAAGACCATATACACTCCTTAACCATATTAACAACATACATAAAAGCATATTTTGATTATATGGGTAAAGTAACCGATTTTGACGATAATCTTTAAATACGCATCGGTCGATAATAAAAAAAAAGGTACCCAGTGCCTACTATACTATACTATATATGGCTATTATTTGACTTCCTTGCACGCTTGTTGTGTGTATGGTGCGCAAATGGTATGCATTATATTAGGCCGATTCGATACTGCGAACGAAAAACCGAATAAAAAGAGCAATCGACTAAACGAGATGGGGTGAAAATCAAATGCAATAAATTTATTTATTTATTTAAACGATTGAGAAAATGTTAATCACAGCTGTGTAGCAAATAAATATTGCATGTATGTGTGCTATAGCCAAAACATATGACCATCGATGTTTTTATAGTTATTTCGATGCCGATTTTGTGTGCAAAAGTGAGCATGAGCGCACTATATTGAAAATCATTGTTACTATGTGCACAAAACAACATTTGCAGCAACAACAGTAACAAAAGAAAATTCGTCGATTTTTCAATTTTTATTATTTTGGCAAAAGTATGCAGAAGGCGCCGCCAGCATACACACACTATATTCACGAAAAATGTCCGCTTTCAGCCTCGAAATCCTAATCAATTGGAAATACGACACACTTTATTGATGTTTGTGCATTGTTTATTTGCTGGCAATGACGCCAAATTTTGAGATTTTTTTAGTTTTTAGTTTGTGTGACTGAAATACCTTTGCCAATTTATTTACACATTGTTGTAATGTTATCTGTAGATATAGAGAATTCTGAAAATAGTGTGTGTATTTTATTTCATTTTTCGTTGTCATTTTTCATTGAAGTAAAAATGTGTAAACAATGCCAGAAATCGATTAGTCATTCGGAAATCGATCACCACACATTCAACCGAATTCATTGGTTTAGATTTCGCAATCAGAATACATCAAAGGTAAAGACTAGCGTTGAAAAATTGAGTACAGTGTGATCGATTATGGACCATTTGTTTCAGTTATTTTTCTTTGGAATTCATTTTTTAGTTGATTTTCAAGTATTTTCCTTTTTCCAGAAATATACTTTATTTATCTATATTCAATATCATTTCTCACCTTTTCACTTCATTTAAATTATTTCTCACAGCTATGTCCCTGTGTTATATTTATCAAATTATTTCGTGAGAAATGTGATATTTCATCATTTAGAATAGGAAAGGCAAGAGGAAAAGAATGTCGTAGAAGAGAACGAAACAAAAATATAATCTTTTATTCGATTCTCCTTTGAGATTTGTGTTGCATAACATCTCAACAACATGCTTCTTAGATGGTGATAAAACGGTTATCAACACACAGATCTTAATGAACAGCTGAAAAGTGTTCGGATAAATGAGGAAAGAATGCGGGTAAAATGAATGTTTGGGATGCAGTCAAAACAGAAACAGAAAAAAATGCAAACGACTTTTCAACTTGAATGTGTTTTTTGTGCGCTCTCGACACTGTCGAGTCAACAGCAACGATTTTACATTTTTGTAGTAGGAATGGCCGTTTCAATTCAACACCACTTCAACGTACACAAAAAAGTGTTGTTAGCCGTCCGCTGTGAGTATGCTATTATTAAATGCAAATGTTCGTTGGAATTGTGTGTATGCCATTCGCTGATAACTACAAATTATTCATTAAATTCGTTTTGAACATTTGTGATTTGAAACCATCCCTATAAAAAAACACGTTTATGAATAATAATATTTTCGCCATCGATTTTACACAAATGAAAAACTTTCTATTTCGGGTTTGTTCGATGAGGTTAAGTTTTGTTCTGTACTATGTATTACTTGATTATGCATGCAATGCAATGGTTGTTAGGTTTTACGAGAGATTTTTTTTATTCCTTTTTTTATTTTCTTTAGTTAAAAAAAAAACAACAAAATTATACATTTTCGTCATCGTCGTCGTTTTTCAGCGGTATACCATCGCAACAAACGAAAAATATCGAAAATATTTTTCTTCATTCACAACTTTTTATTTTATTTTCACCTTTACTATATACTATAGCCGAGATTGTGTCAGTTACCATTTTCTTTCTTATTCCTTCGCCTTTTTTAGTAAATATTTGATTTACATTTATTATATATATATACGTATATAGATGTATGTGTTAGTGTATCTTGGGAAAATTTTGCCAAATTTATGCACTTCTTTTAAGTCAATTCTGTCTCTGCTACACTCTTTATACATCGATATTTTATTTTTCGTACTAAATTTTCTTACATATTTGAAACGTCTTTTTATTCTCTTGTTCCGTCTGTGGATATTATTTTGTACATTTCGAAGATGCTTCGTATCACTGTGTTGTAAAACTTGTTGAACAAATAATTTCTCTTAAATAATATAAGCAATGAGGAAAATTTACGCGTACACGAGCGACGCTGTTCACCGAATTAAAGCACAATTTGTACTGAACAGTACATGCAGATATCAAAATCAACAAAAACAGAAAAAAACAAATGTTTTATACCAAAACAAAAATATCAAAACGCACGAACATGGATCAGACGAAAGTGATTGAGTTGAGCATGAAACACATGAAATAGTAACAGGCAACCAAAGACATTTTGTTAAATCAAAACTAACTAACTTTACGGTTACGTAGAAATGAAAATATCAAAAGATTATATGATTTCGGGAGGGAAAATCCTGAAAATTGATAAAATATAATGTGAAAAAAGGAAAAGATATATTAAAGTGTTAAATGGAAACGATTTTGATTTAGCGTATATTTTTTTTGTTACAGTTTAACCACTTGAAATTGATTTTCGACATTTGATCGGTTTATGGATAAATCCATAAATTGAAAATTTGTCAAAGTGGATTTTCATGTTATATCACTGCAATTGTCGGTATGTTTTTTTTGTATACCATTTTCAAGATGAGCCAAAACAAAATCCAAAGTTGACTGAAACGAAAATTTCGAATCATGCATAAATATTGAAAAACAGAAAAACGAATGAATGCTTTGCCCTCAACAATCAATGGGTACAAAACAGCTACAACACGAATAAACGAGTATTTATTGTAACACTTATGCTTTCAAGTATCAATATTCGGGACGTTTCGTGCGATCGTGTAATATAAAACTGGTACCAATGGTTGTTCGTTTATTTTTCCTTGACGATTATTATCGCCGAATTATCAATTCCATCGTCTTCATCGGATTTTTCGCTCGTTATGTGTACGCTTCCATTATGGTTTAGCAAAAGCGTCATTTTTCGCGTGTTTATCGTCGAATGAATGAAAAGAGAGAAAAAAATCGCTTCTCGTTTTTTTATTGCTTTTGTTGGAATTCGATTTCAAAAATAAACCATGACTTATACGTTATTGTTTTTGTTTTGTTCGGATCTTATATGTGTGTGTGTATATGTGAGTGCGCGCTTTTTTTCATTCTTCATGTTCGCTCATCGTCTCGCTACTTTATTTATTGTGTGCGCTGCATGGTACTGCCATGGTACAGTGTTAGCATTGACATTTTTACTCCGTCTCTTTGTTTTGTCTGTCTCGCATTCCCTTGCCTAAGTGAGAATATTCAATGCAGCAAAAGCACCATATTTTGAATACAGTTTTGATATAAAACTTATGGGTTATTTCACAATTTCCATGTATAATTTTTCCGTGCCTCGTTTCTTTTATTTATTCGCATTTTATTTCTATTTTCTTTTTCGTTTGCGTTTTTGTTCGGCAACACATCAGATGCAAATTAAATCTTTAGCAAATTTTCATGCATTCACATAAAGGGCTGATTCACGTTACGATTACTTTGAATAAAACATATAAGGAAATGTGTTCGCATTACAAACCAAATGAAATCGGATGTACAGATACCCTCATTGCATTTTGGTTCATTTTTTTTCTTCTTTAGATTTGTATTGCGCGGTCATATTTTACATATGGCGCATGAGGGCTAGGCTTATTTGCCCTTTTTTTAAATGCAATATCACGTCAATTCATATGGTCTCTTTTGTACAAATATACCTATAGAAATTGTCAGCAAATGCATTTAGTGTGCTACATGTTTAACTGGCCAAAACTAGACGAAATAATTTACCATACTTTCAATTGTGTTTCTATGGCGTGCAATAAAATGACGATGAATCCGTTTGCAATCCGGAAGAAGAAAAAATTCACTTTTATTCATGTGCTCCATTGTATGACCGTAATTGATTTTTTTTTTATCTTAATCGATAAAAATCTATTACAGTTTGAAGTGGAAAAAATTGTTGAACAACTCGACCTGGATGTGTTTCTTTTTTGTTGCTTTCAAATTTAAAAAAGAGGATATTAGTAGAAGCAAAATGAAATAAAAATTATAATAGTACAGAACCAATTCAATCATAGTAACTTATTGATTTGATTGATATCTATGTTTTACGCCGTGGCAATTCATTTTACCACAGAAAATAAACGTTCATTTTTTCAACTATGCGTGTGAATGCATTCAATGGAATCGTCATGATTTTCTTAAGGATCTTTGCAAAATATTTCGAATGTTTTCTTTGCTTAAACGGAAAAAATCATCATTTTCATGCAACTCAAGCGGGATGTGAAATTAGTAGAGATATAACAACATAAGCTGTGACTATTATTCTGTGTGTAATAGTCACTGTATACAGCATTAGCACAAGCACAAACTATAAATCATAATAAATTTGAGTTACCATTCCTATAACGTAATCAGGTAAGGTGAGAGCGTGATAGTGTTCGACATTTCTTTCTTATTTTGAGTGTGCATGCTTCATTGCATTCTCGATACACTTTAAGAAGCAACTAAGAAATGTGTCAGTTTTTTGAATTGTGACGAACACGCTTGTACACGTTCATTTTCTTTTCGAAAAACACTCATATGTGATTCGTTGACATTTTATTTTATTGAATTCGATGAAAAAAAAAAAACATATAAGCAGTAAATTTTCCATTCTTTCTATTATCCACGGTTTTCTCTCTCGCTTTCTATGTGTTCATTTATTCACCATTAACTTTTTTTTTTCAACATGTTTCTGCGTCGTTGTTAAGAAAATCGCATGGGACATTTGTCGATTAGAAATTGAATTTTCTTGTTTTGATATTGTGTGTTCTTTGTTTCCCCCCCCGCTCCTCCTCCAACTGTCCGTATGCTGTAGAACAGCACATTCATTTCAACCAATTCACAAAGTTATGTGTAGAAAATTCAATTTTATTTTCATTAATAGTTGCATTCATGTCCCAATGGAATGAAGTGGTGAAAAGGTGATGAAAAATATGATAATTCCATCATGGCATAAGCCTTGAAATCAAGGGGGAAAGTACTAAATACGTCTAATACCAGTAATACGATCTAGTACAATAAAAATACCGAAAAATACCAAGTAATACGATTTTGTAATGAGGAATTTTTAAAGCACTGACAAAGAGAAACGAGACACATGCAAACCGAAATAATTAAAATTCAATGCACACATTTTTGTTGATTTTGTTACATATTTTTTACATTTTTGAGAAGTGTTCTAAGAAGCTGACACAATTTCATATTTAATCAAAATCTCTACACAAATCAGAAGATGAAAAAATATTTTGGACCGTAGTTAGGTTAGATTTTTACATGTCAAAACTAACAAATTTTGTGTGTTGAAGAAATACATATAAAATCTTGTGCGTTGGCATATTTTTATGACATTGATTCAGTTATTTTGTTCAATTAATATTTTGTAATATTTAAATTGTAAGCAAGAGTGATACAAAAAATATTGTTTTCAAATTATTTTTCTTTCACACAGATGAATATCAGATCGCTTGTGAATGCTCTAAAAAATGGTATTTTTATTGTACTAGATCGTATTACTGGTATTTGATGTATTTACTTTTCCCCTTGCTTGAAATATTTCGATAGCATCATTCAACAGAAGTACACTCTAATTGGATTACAAACGATTTAATGAAATGATAAACAAATGCAATTGACAATGTGTTTTTTCGCGACTTCAGCCTGTAGGTATTTTGATTGCCATCATATGTATTTAGAAGTTATGTTATTCAACACTTGACACATATTGCCATTTTTGCACACCATAAACCCAATTTCAATAAGTCCTGTGGCTCTCGCTCTCCTTTTTTCTAGTTATCTTTTGTTCTCCAAACATTAGTTGTCGTTGGGCGTAACATAGCATAATATTTCCGACATCTATCGTTTGCGCTCGCTCTTGTCAATGACAACGAGTGTGAAAAAGTAAGCAAAACGATACAACATAAAGTAAATGTTATGCGCTCATGTGTGATGTCTATTTGTGTGACGATGTGCGTGTTGGGAACATTTTTTTTTTGTCATTTAATCATTTTAGTATCGTCATTTTTCTATTTTATATCTCTCAAATGAAAGCGTCCAAAAGGAGACAAAAATTAAATGAGCAAGTATGTTATGCAGCATCAACGGCGACACACATATTATGCTGGGGCGGATATAATACACAAAAAATTTTGTATGTAGGGCAAATACACGCAAACACTTACACATATACTTGATGAGTTCATCGGTGTGTATTAATATCAAAATTGAAAATAAAAATAAAGCACATCACACACATATAAATAATCGTTCATGGATTGTTTCGAATTTTATGATGAAAGCAATGTAAACTCATACATAATTTAGGCGATAAGATTTAACATTTCGAATATTTTTCCGCATTTATTTCACTTTTCCGAAACCCGTTATGCTTCGTTCGTTACCCCATTCAACATACTTGTTCAACAGCAATTACAGCAGCGGTATCAGTGGCAACAACAACTTTATTTCATTATACCATTATAATCAATCGTTGTGAACTATAGCCGTTTCAAAGCAATTAACATCTAACATCTATTAGATTTGTAAAATTCAACCCTTTTTTTCAAATGACGTCTCTATGTATAGCTTTTGCACAAATTGTATGTTATTTCACATTTTCATCTCTATTAAAATGCCATTAATAATGGCGCACATTTTTTTAGTTTGGAATAAATGGTTTATGGAATCGAATATGATTCATCGAAAATCTCAATGTGCGTATAGACTATAGAACAATATGAATGAACTTTAGTGCCATGTATAAAGTCGCGATTCTGAGAACACTGTACTCAGAACAATGGTGGTGCACCAAGGCGAGAAGCGATTAGAATTACAGAAAACATTTGGTCTAACTGTATAAAAATGATAATTTTATTTCCTTTAATCTTTATTGACTTCAACACATTAAGTTATGAGCCTAGTACAACTAGAAAGATGATGAAAATTAAAACGAAATAAGGCCAAAAAAGGAAAACAAAAAATCCAAAATTTCGTTTTTTAGAGGATGTATAGTTGGCGTAGAGGTGTCAACGGACACGGACGGACAATAAAAAATCTTATCTTTTCTAGTTTGTGTCTACCCTAGTAATCGATTTTAGATTTTTATGGAAACATTTTTCATTCACATATTGACCTATATATGAGCAATTTTATTTTTGGTATTTGAGACTTACCTTGCACCGACTCACCACTTTTAGTCACCAAACAATAAGAATATGTTAAGTAAGAGAAACTTGAACTGCTCTTCTTTAATGATTTCGGTGCGCACGGCACTTGCGATGCCTTTCATGTGTTGGCATTGGACTCTGTTGACTTTGGTTTCATCAAACTCTTTCAAATTAACGGAGTTTTTATCTGTAATAAAAATAATTCACTTTGGTAATCTCAGTTTGAACAACTTTAGTACTCGTTTGAACAAGTTCTTATAATCGTTGTCCCACTATATTTAAAATATTGGTCAAAATGACTGGATGACTCATCGATAGCTCGCAACTGTGTACATGTAAAAAATGACAAAAAATTACTCATATATTTCTATTTATTTCTATGGTATTCATTTTTATAATTTTTATTGTTTCTTGTTTTATAAACTCACATTCTCTGTTTTTTTTTTTTTTTGTTAACAAACAATCATCTAATGCTACGATTTATATGTAATATGTGTATTATTTATACCACATACATTGTTTATTTTAACTACATCATGTGTAATGTTTTTCATTTGATGTTTTTTTTTGTGTTTGTGTTGGTTTCCTATGAATTTTCCATGCGCTTAGGGTTTGTTACATTTTCGAAATGTACTGAAACTAAAATATGGTCATCCCATTCGTCGTTCTCTCGTGTACAGAAATAAATATCTTGATACATTCCTTATTTGTTGTTAAATTGTATCTGTACCGTCTCTCATTCGTTATTATCAAAAGAAAAAGATGCCGAGTAAATTCTAATCCTTATTAATATTATTATATTGAGTATATGTTTCTCTTTTGAGTCTGCAGTATGAGAACTCAGACGATATTCGTTTGTGTGTATTTGTGTATGCGTGTGGATTTGTGGAGTTTGTGTAATTAATCCTTTTTACGATGTGTACTCATCCGAAGTAATGATGACATTTTCAATTATATGGATTTCATTTCATATTCCATCCCATTTGTCATATGTATGTGTTGGGGTGTTTGTCGCTTTGTTTATCATTAATAATTTTACGTTTATAAATATTTGAAGATTTTCTCTTAATAACGTTAAATGTCAAGTATCCGTTGTCTCGTTTTATTTGTTGTTGTTGTTGTTATTCTTTAAATTAACACGAATATTGCAAATTCATTACTGACAATGTCAGCCTGACATAGATGATATTTTTTGAAATTCAATCTTGTCAATTTACTATTGTTTAAACTGAATGATTTACATATAATTCTTCTTTTTTCAAAGTAATTTTTTGATGTCTTCAATGTTCTAGTTTTTGTTCGTCATAGTTCTATGGGTCTGTGAGAGTTTTGATAAAAATTAAATGTCATTTTGAATACGGTTTATTTTTCTTCGTTACGCTTTTGTTCAAAACTTATAAAGTGCATGTTTCGATAGGCATATTGTATATATGTATATAATCTATAATGTTGTAATTAAATTTTGTTTCATTCAGTTTTATGTTCAAACGACAAACACAATTGAATTCGATTTATTTATTTTTAACTGCTTTACTTCGTTTATCTGCTTTAATCAAAATGCAATTTTATAAATTGTCTCTTTTTATTTTGTTTTTTTAATAAAAAAATAGTCTGTGAATTGGATATTTATGATATTTTGATACATTTTTGTTGTTTGCTATTGTTTTTGGTGTTTTTTCTATCTGTTTTATTCGTTTTTATATGTATTAAATTAAACATATTGCATTTATTGGCGTTTTCTTAATCGAAAGTGGGATTGAGAGATAGATAGTTAGAGAGAGAGAGCGAGAGAGTTTGAAAACACGAGAATTGATATCATTTCAATATTTTATCATATCGTAATTTGAAAATTTGATTTTTCGTGTATAAAATACATATGAGTGGTTTTGTTTCTGGTTTCATTAAAAAGACGAGCCGCGAGGGATATACACAAATTCGGTGGCACGATTGGGCACAAAAAGGAAGATCGATTTAGATGGAGCTTTTTGCATCGCTATAAAATCATACTCTATTTGTATTCTAAGAAAATTTTACATATGTGTGAAAAGAGCAACGGAATTTAAAATGCATTTTGCATAAAGCCGTGGACAAATGAAAAGTCAACGCGTCAACTGTACTTTTAAAATCTACATGTATATTTATATCGAATTTCGAAATACAAAGCAAACAAAAAATTAGACTGAGTGTAGCACATACATAATATTTTTGTGTTTTGTTTTTCTAATTGTAAGTTTTCATTTGGTAAAAATTGACCATATTAGCAACTACGTAATGAAGAAATTCTAAATTCATTTCTCGTGTATTTATAAAAATATCTGATCAAATAGACTGTGGTTTTTTTCTTATTAAAATGGGTATGGATTTTTTGTTGTTGCAGAAACGGTGCTCTCATTCGTTTTCTTCATTAAAACAGAATGTTTTAAAATGTAAATTCTATCGTTTTTTTTTTGTTGTTTGTGCACTGCATACCAAATTAATGCCTGTTCATAAATGAGAGATAATTATTCGAGGGACAGGGGAGTGAGAAATTGATTTACAATAGTAGTTGATCCTCCTGAATTTGTTTTCAACGTTTGCCCTGTTTTGTTTTTCATCACGATGTGCGCAATTCCACGTTAAAACACCAAATGATCGAAATAGTCTTAGTTGAAATCTAATTTGGCCTAGTCACAAGAACCACCAGGTTTTTGCTTATAAACTGTGTTGTTGGTATAGTTTCATTCTTATTCGTTTGAAAATAGCTTATAAACAAATAATCTTTAAGAGACATCTAATCTTAGTACGGGGGGAAGGGGTTCTAATTTTTTTTTTGTAATTTTCATTGTTTATTGACAAGTACATAATTAGATTCAGTTGTGAATAAAAACAACTTTTATTATGTAGTTGTGTATGTTGATGAAATCGAGTGATCAAATGAGTGTAATTTTCAAACGCTTTGTTGCAGATGATGAATATCTTCGAAATAAATTCCATTTAATTTTTTAAAGTTTCCGATTTTCTAGAAGTAGAATGATATAGTCGAGCGCTTCATATATGATTTGAAAAAAAAAGTTAGCTTTTGTATGTGTGAACCGTTGTTTTATTATTGCAAAGAGTGTCGAAAATACCATCCAATTTTGATTTGCTTTTCCCATGAGAAATTGGCGGAAAGACTCTCTAGAGTATATGATACGGTTACCTATGAGTCTAATAGTGAATTTTCACTTCCAGAACTCTTTGGGTCTGGTAAAATTAACCTATTGAACAAGATTCGCACTCGGAAAGACGATGTTAGTTGTGTCAAACGATGTCAAACATTACAAAAATAATATTCAGATTAAACATGATTATCGTCTATTTACGCACAAAATGAACACGTTTACTCGATTGTATAATTATCTGTTTAGTGAATAAACGTATGCGGATCGGAGTGGTGTACAAATCTCGGTGCATGAAAATATCCATTAATTTATTGATGCACAAATGTCAAAGTAAATATATGTAATGGAAGTTCATTTTTTTCTAGCATTTGCTATCATTCATTTCTGTTTGTTAACGGGTTTGTTTAGGTTTTTCAGTTTGTCCTTAGTTTCTGTTCCAATATATCTGTTATAAGTCAATCCTATATTACTTTATACGCGTAATTACTTTAACAACTATATTTATTCACTTTTTTTTGTTCGATATTTAAAAAAAATTCATCGCTATTTATTTAAATTTTCTTTTTCTTCGCTTTGTTATAATGCCAACTAATTTAATAATCAACAACAAAAATTGGTACGTAACTTTAATAACGTTAAAAGGGATTTCTTCTTTTATTTATTTTTTTTTTTCACTTTTTTTCTCTATACATATATATTAAATCTCGGTTTTAGTGGAAAAAAGGGAAACAAACTGGGCTTTTTTCATTTTCTAACACCGATCCATTACTGGTTCTCTTTTCATTGTTCACAATATCACTACTTTACTTTAAACTAAAGGTTGTTTTCAGCATTTCAATTACCTCATTATCTACGTAGTAAAATGCAATTTATAGGAATTTTATCCTCATTACACTGATGACGTTCATTCTGGGTGTTTTGTGAATTTCTTGTTTTAATTCTTTCTCTATATTTATCTATTCATATTTTTTTTGATGTGTATTCGAAGGTTGTTTTCATTCTCTTCGTTTTAATTTTCTGCACTGCAATGTTTATAGAAAACATGTTCTAATAAACGCAGTCGGTTATAGCATAGAAAACCATTTGATGGAATTAGCTTAATATCAGAACACTATTCCCATATTATAATAAATATTTTTTTATACAGAAATTCTATGTCAAATATCTATCTGTCTTTCATTTTTTTTATTTTAAATTTTCCTATAAATATCTTGCTACGATACTCATTACGATAAAATGCACTCTTATGATATATGTTTTTTTTTATTTATTTAAATTGTTAACTTTTTTCAATAATCCCATTCAACAGTGGCTTTTTGTTAAATTTTTCTTACAGAATCAAAATCAACACACGAAAAATTTAATTTATTTACAAATTATATGGAAGAGAAAGAAAAAAAAAGACGATTTAAAACCAAAATGCCAACTATTTAGAATGGGAAATTATTCTAAGCATAAATTATCAAGCGTATCAAGTTTAATTGTTTTTTCAAATGTCTGTTTTCAAACTGAGGATAATAATTCGTATTTTTGCAATACAAATCAATGTAGTATGGATTTTCATTTAAAAAATATGTTTGTTTTATTTTTCTGTGTTCAACATCGACCGAACATTACGAAGATTTGAAGGAGCTCCGATTCTGTTTCGGTGATTCGTCATTCTCAGTTTGAATATATTTTTTTCGAATAAAAATCTAATTATGAGCGGTAAAATCATCATGTAAAAACGTCGTTCATTATATTACATGGTATTTTTTGTGTGCAAATATAATAACTGGTTCCACTTCACTCCATCTCCATGTATGTTTTGAGTCAAAATTTATTAATTTCTTTTTCCATTTGTTTTCTTCTTTTTCGTCCGAATCATGAACAATCATTTAATAAATGCGTCAATTTTGCGATTTCAAAATGTTTTTGGTGCGCACAATATTTTGATTTTTATAAATTTGAAATGTATTCTATTTAAAAAAAAATGCGCAATTCTTTGTCGCCAAATAAAAATGGTATTCGTTCAAACAGCCAGATCATTGTTTATAATTAAGTAATTTATATTTAGTATTTGATTTGACGAAAATGGGTAAAGAAACGCATACATTCGTTTGTTTAACTTATTGTATTTGATTTCATTCACTATATTCGTGTCTGTGTGTCTACATGAGACTGCTTCAATTTTGACTGATAAATTCTATGCAAAAAATTCCGAACCAGACTGTTCAATAATTTTTACTGTATCAGCTAAATTAAATTTGGGATTGGTTTCGTCTCAAAGAACCGCATGATGTTGATGATGATGTTGATGTATTGTTGTTTGTTGTTCGCTGTCCAAATCAATTTCTTCTTCATCATCGTCGTCGTCAGCATCTTGATCGATATCATCTTCGGTACAATTAATTATCAAATGATTTAAATGTGGTGGTATTGAACTGGGCGGTAATGGTGGTTGGGGAATGGGAAGAATGTCATCGTCACTATTAATACCATAATGCAAACTACCAGATAAACTGTTGCCACTTTGTAAATGACGTCGGCTCGAACCTAAACCTGAAAATGAATTTAGTACTATTTGCGATATTGTCTTACTTTTTTGCGTAAATAATTGGCCAATTGGTATGTGAGTTTAACTTAAAAATTATTATTTGAATTTTGATTATCGATTTTTGACGATCGATTTAATAGAAAAAAAATTCAATCGTTGATAAACTAACCTGTGGCACTAGTTGTTGAATCATAATGGCCACCACTTCTATGCAAACCGAGCTGACGATGATGATGCTTGCGTCTTTTTCTCCGATGGTAAATCGTACATACGAGACAAATTAGGAAGGAGCACGCGGCCAGGCTTGATATTATAAGGATTTCGGACTCGTCCTTTGTCACGTCCGCTGAACCTACACCAAATAATATTTACATTCGGTCATCGTTTGTATTTAATAACTATTTATTCAATTCTCATGCTAGTCATATAGTGTTTGAAGGTAAAGATTTCGAGATTTATCGAACAGTTTAATCCATATATTGGAGGAAATGATTTCAAAAAAAAAAAAAAGATGTGCCAGAAAATATCACAATTATCAAAGTAAAAAAAAAAAAAAAAAAAAATAAAAACAACAATACGGTATATCAACTCTCTGACCGAGAAATGTGTGAAAAAAGGCTGCATATAGAAAAATTAAAAAGCAAAGTAAGCCATTAAAAATTATATAAAGTATAAAACAGATATAACAAAAGAAATTGAATTAAATAAGAAAAAAAATAAGTAAATTAAATAAATAAAAATTGAACTAAACCGTTCGACTCACTCACGACTCACAGTTCATTTCATCCGAATCGTCGCCGGGTCCACAGTTTTTGAGGCCATCACAATGTAGTTTATTTGAAATGCAGTAGCCCGATACAGTACAATGGAAAAGATAGGTTGGTTCACAGTGATGTAAAATGCTTGTTGTAGGCCCACTTATTTTTGCGCTATCCTGAACTTCGGTCCAAACAATTCGGAAGCCCTAATGAAAATTTTGACAATTACGCGATATTCATTTATTGAATTTTTTCACCGAAATGTTTACTATACCTGGGCACCAATTGTTTTGTCCGTTGTTATAAAGCTTATGCGTGCATTTTGACCGTTTGAAATATAATGCCATATATCACCCGTGGTTTTTTCACCGCACAATTCAATGGGTGCCAATTCGGGTTGGTCCGGTGTTAACCAAATTCGCAATGCAGCTGCTGGGCAACCTCGAGCTTTTCGATGGAAAAATGAAAAGTTTTCAGTAGAAATTCAATGGTTATTTATAGCTCGAGTGATCTTACTTGGTGGATCTCCTTCAACCGAGAAAAATTCAATTCTCATCAATACACGGAAGCCATATCTGGCGGTTATATACCAGTTACATGCTCTTGAAGCCAAACCTTTACCCGGCCCATCGTATTTCGCTACAGATAATAAAATTTACCATCAAATGTATTAGTACCCGACCGAAAAAAAAGGTCGACATAACGAATATCATCGTTTAAAGAAATGAATACCTGGATAATTTGGTGATGTAATAATATCGTAATCTTGATTGGTGAAATTTCCACCACAATCACCTTCAAAATGAAATGTGTTAATGAAAAACAGTTACATTAATGAATTTCTCATTTTTTTTTTGTTTCAAAGTTTACAGTGTTTATGGTTGGATACAAACCCGTTACAGATTTGGCTACTTCAAATACATAACGACCCTTGAAACCACTTGACACATTTTCGGCGTCGGTGTGAAGAAGCAAACGAATCCCAGTTGCACCTCTTGGACTTTCCATTGGTCCGGGCGATGTGTTGCCACAATATCGACCGATGAATCGTTCTTGGCCATCGCGAAATAATACATAAATTTCCAACCAATCCTCTATACATGCAGCACTAAAATGTGACAATAATAATTTAAAAAATAAAACGAAATTGAACATCGTTGAATTCTTGAAATAAATTTAATTTATATTTAAATGATATGCATGACGTGAAAAATGTAACTCACCCATAACCGCCGCCAGTAATATTGGAATTGACTGCTTTAATTTTGAAATGATCGAATAAGATGGTGACTTGTTCGTTTGGTGTTGCCAAGAACTTGTATGAACAGTTTGAATCTAAAATTCACGAAATATATCGCGTGTTAAATGATTTCATAAATAAAATTAAAATTACCGTATTGATAGAATATTTATGAAAATAATATAAACAAACCTGATATATATTTTGAAGGAAACCTTGGGCTGTTAAAATCGCCTTTCTTGCGTGATGTACTTCTGTATACGAATGAACAAGATCCATCCGGTGCGGCCGTGCCTGGTACTTTATATTCCGTTTCAAACGAATACTTGGCCTAAAAATGGTTATTGGTGATGATTTGTTTTTGTTTTCATCAATTTATGTTCCGGATTTTTTTCATATTATTTATGTTAAAATGTTAATATTTACCTTAAAACCTCTGGCCTGTAGTTCACCTGAACTGAATACCATCACAACTCTTGGCCCATCACTCATAACTAAATGAGGAATATCATGACCACAAAATTCATAATCAAATTTATCGTAGGCATCTTGTGTTTCTTGACCCTTCAAAAATATCTTTAAGTAGCCTTCTGTACAATTCGATCTGTGAAAACGAAAACAAAACAACACGATAATAAAACATATTGCATAATTTATCAATTGAAAATGGTAAGTTGGTTGCATTGACGTATACAATATACATACTCTTTATCTTTATCCTTATCCTTATGTTCTTTATGTTGAATTTCAAACATTTGAAATTCTAAGCGTACTCGTTCCAAGTTTTGTGCATCTTGTAGACCGTAAATAAAATACCTACAATTCAACAAAGCATTTTTTTTAAAATATTGTTTTCAAATAATTGCTATCCGGCAATCGAACATAGAGCAAAATCATTTTGCCCAATGACCGTTATAATGGTTATGTTGCGTACCTGCAAACCGTTTTTGGTAAATATGGAAATGGATAGTTTGGCGAATAAACAAATCCCGTTGATTCTCTTTTTGATAAAATTTTTTGATCGCATTCGGAACCACGAATATGAACACCATTACTTAAACCTAAATGAGAGAAAGAGAAATTCACCAAGAAAAGAAACAAACATGACACTGCCATTCGTTTAAATATCAATTGATGTTCAGACACTTACGTATAAAGTCTAATTTAACGAAACTTTCACTAAATTCATAAATTCCTTTAAAACCGCGATTTTGTGTAGACGCAGTTCGGCGTAATGTAAAAAATTGCACTAGCAAACTTGACTCGCTCGAGTATAATACTAAATTTCTTTGTTGGCCACAGTATGTACCAATTAATTCTGACGAATTATCAGGACCATCGTACACTTTTACGTAATCGAATGGGCAACTATTTTGAAATGAATCAAATAAAAAGCGATAAATTAAACGTTTCTTCTAAAGTCTTCACATAAAAAAAAATTGCATTTTTGTCATATACTTACTGAGGTCCTCCAAAGAACAAATCAAAGTCCCGAAATTCAAGACGAACACGTTGATTCGATTCGCCGATAAAGTGATACGTGCAAGATAAATCTTTTGGATAAGATCCTGGATACGTTGGTGAAATAAACGTATCGGATTTATTTTTTTGCGGAGTGATTGTATACGAACATGGTGACCCAGTTATTGGCGTTCCGATTTCAAAAATTGCTGTTACACAGAGAAAAAAAAAGGAGAACCAATGATAGAAAAAGTGATGTCAATGAACATTGACATGCAAAATGTGTCGATATTCGCACAAAATGTCATGATATCAATTTGAAAGAAATCAAAATAAAAACAAAAATCAGCAGAGAAATTTACTTTGAAATAAAAATGAATGGAAATATTACGAATGGCACTTACAAGCATTTATAAATGAATATCGACCGGTGAACAATTGGGCGGTTGTCGCATTTTTGCCAGTGAAAAACGATAAAGCGATAGCTCGATATAATGATATGCGCCGTCGTGGTAGATTTGGACCGCAATATCGTCCGCCAAATGGTGAATTGATCAAATCAGCTGGATCTGAAGATTGCACTTCTGAGTAAATGTCCATATATTCAGATCCGCATCTAATAACGAAAACATAATAAATCAATAAAATTGGTTGATGTTAACACCAGCACCGAACGACAATCAACAAACATTATGCATAAGTACACAAATATCTAATGATAATTTAATTAAATACTCACGATGGTATTTCACCGACAGCCGCTCCACTACAGTAATCAAGTGAATTGAAATCAATTCGAACGATGATATTAATGTAAGCGTAACCGAACAAGAAAAAAAAAACAAATGCATTAAAATCAAATTATTATAAGTGAAAGAGGAGTTTGGGTGTTCAAATGAAATTAATAAGAATAAAGGTGTCACATACTCTGGTGGTGATCCTCGTAAATTAAATGATGTAAAAACGATTTCGACTCGTTGGCCAGGTCCGGCCAAAAATATGTACAAACATTGTCGAGAATGATTCGACACATTGTTAATTACAGGAGCAGCAAATGTGCCATTCTGTGGGCCACCGGGACGAGACACAAAGGTTTGGTCACACTCTGTCATTTGGAAAATTAAAAAAAAAGAGAGAGAGAAAACAATAACAATCACATTTAGAATGAATGGAAAATTGATTAGATGTGTGAGAAATCGAACAAAAATAATGTGGTAATAAACAGTATTCTACATAGAGTTCCTGGAAATCAGTTCAGTTTACCTCATAGTATTATTTGTGTCATTGGTTTTAACATTCTTTCGATTATGGTATGAGTCGCCTCTCGTCTCCACACATGTTGTATGAAAACAAGGTTTTTGGCACCAAAATTTTAGTATGTGCAGTTTTTGAGAGAAAAAGAGACGTAAGCTATCGATTCTTCATCAGCATAAAGATGGTAATCTCGGCCATAATTGACATTTGACCGGAATTTGGCAATCAGAGGCAGTGGCTCTGTTTCAACCACTTGTATTATTTCCATTAAATATTGTCTGCGAACGCAGCAACTATCCAAAAGATGTTTTCAAACTTGTGGATAATACCATCGAAAAAAATCAAATAACAACGGAAACAATTAATTAGCAAATGGGTTTTTGATATTTACGCCATTTAGTCCATCGTCATTGATTACTGTTGAAGTGACGCGCGCGCTTTTCTCTCTTGCTCTCACTCTTTTTCTCTCTTGCTTTCGATCTCTTTCTTTCTCAAAACGTTTTCTTCGTACCAAAATTTTTTTGGCCCGTTCCATCGTATTTCCCTTTTTTTCGCCTCTGTTTTTGTTTCTTGTTCAGCCATTCATATCAGTATTTATACACACAAATCTCCGCAGTAAAAACAGAACAGAGTAAAATGCAAACAAAAACTTTTATTTTCTGCTTTCGATTCAGATAGAAAATGCCACTATTGATACGAGTATAACATACACATAAAACTTTGATTTCACGAATTTCGCGATTTTATAGACAAACACTATTTCACTTAATTTCAAATTCTCAGTTGTGATATACGTATATATAAAATATGATTCTCATACGTCGCCATTCGCGTAAAATCTGTACTATTTTGTTTCTACAACTATATAAACGATTTTTTTGTTGTTGTTGTTGGCTTACAGCTTTTTATCATGCATCGTTTGTTTGTTGTTTTTTCGTGGTGGATTTTTTTTAAAAGTGGTTTTAATAAAATTTGTCGATTACGTCATTTGTGTTAGCCTTTTTGCTTATTTTTCGTTTGTTTTCAAAAAAAAATAAACATTTGTAGAGAACGTTAACTTGTATTTATGTGTGTTTCTTTTGTTTTATTACATAACGCATTTAATTCGCGATACCCTTAAATTAAACTGATTTTTGAAGTTTAAATTCATCATTTAAATGAAAGGACGTTTAGCTACTTGATGTATAAAAACACGTTTTTTTAATCTAAATCTAAGACTTCCCCCCTCACTTAAGTTTTATATGCACCTTTTTTTTTTAAATATTGAAATGATTTTCATTATGAAATCATCATACATAAATTTTATATATTTATTTGTGTGTGAGTTACATTTTGTTTAAACATCTTTTATGTAATGTATGCTATTTTCTCTTTTGTCAATTGAATATAAAAAAGTTCAGTCTATGTTTTTTGCAATTGTATGTGCTTGCCCTTTTGTCTTCAATATAGAGCTAGTATTTTACAACATTTACTAATTAATATTCAACATTAAAAACTTAACAATTTTTGGTTTACCTTGTGTGTGTTAGTATTTGTGTAACACAAATTGTGTTCGTGTCCCGTATTGATTTTTGTGGTTTATTTTTTTGAATTTTGTTGTTTTGAACTTAGAAAATATTCTCTACATGAAATTTGGCTATTTCATTACATGATGCATGCGTGAATTACTGTTTATTTTGTGTGTGAGTTTTTTAGTTTGTTTTTTTTTTTTCTCGTTATAGACCTCCATTTTCTTGATTTTTGTCTCTACTTAGTTTATATATATATTTATATTATAATTAAGTATATGCATTTTATGTAAAACACTCTTTTTTTAACACGGTTTTGTAAATATGAACAATGAACATCACTAACAGCCAACAGTTATAATTTATAGGTGATTCATTTATAAGGGATATAAGTATAAATACCATCAAAATACACACATTTATTTAATTTTTTTTTTGTATTTTTTTTCTGTTAAATGTAACTTTTTTGGCGTTTTTTTAATATCCCGGATTTTATTTGTTTTGTTTTATTGTTTGGAGATTGCTTTGAGAGTAATGTTAAGGATAACATTTATATATAAGCTAATTACATTCTGTTTTGTTGTTTTGCTGGCGTTTTGTACGTTTATTGGTTATTGGACATTCATTAATCGTAGTTCATTTAAGAGTTTGTTTATTTGTTTCTCTCCATAATTCCATTCTCTCTTTCTCTCTTCATTTCTTTCTGTCCGTTTTTATGAATACCGCCGTTTTATGTTGAATTATATTTGAGCTTTTGCGTAAGCAATGTATGCGTGATGATTTCAAATGTAAATTTTATGGTGATTATGTTCGCAGCTTGATTTTTTGGGCAATTTTTCTGTTATTCACGTCGTTGGACAACATCACTTTCGCTTCTTCCATCACTATCTCTGTCACCCTCCATTTTCTTTCTCTTTTCTCTTCTCTGCTTGATTATCATTCTGTAAACGATTCAGCATTCGTATAAATCATGATGGTTTTTATTAGTCCCGTGTCTTTTACACACACACACACACACATTTTCGTGTCATATGTATTGATTTTTCTCGAATTGCCTCGACGTTTTCGTTTCATTAGTCGAAAGCTGTCGTTTTATATCAGCCTCCACTTTCAGTTTCTCTCTGTCACGTCATTACGTCCGATTTTCTGCTCATCGTTGATTCCGTTTATATTTTTTTTTTTAGTATTTGCACGCATTTGGCATTTATCTCAATTTTCCATTTTCTATGTCAGGCATTTTTTGTGTATTTGCATCTCTCTCATTTTATCTCCCTTTTGTATCAGTATTTTTGCAAATATTTTCACCTTTGTGTGTTGAGTCATTTGTTTGAATGTATTTGAATATGGTTGAAAACGTTTCGGATTGAATGCATACAGGTGAATTGTAAATAAACTAAGATCGAAAATGCCAGTTTGCTTTCGTTTACTTCATTCGTTTGTGTGATTTTTGTTTATCTACTCGCGTTTGGTATTTTTCGTTTGCAGGTTTCAATAGCAGCAGCAACAACAACACAAATCTCTGTACACAGAGAATATCATCATCTTGGTGTAAATAATGTCTATCCGTTTAGTTCACGTGTTGCCAATAATAAATACGTTGAACAAGAAGCCCAAAATATTTCCAATCTCAGATAGAAAGAGAGATGGAGTGATTGAGTAAGAAGAAATACAATCCATATTTTGAGGCTATAATAATGGTTGTTTATTCGTTATTCAAAATGATGAACAATTTGTGTCAGATTTTATACAGGTATATCCATTTCTACTTTCCGTTCGCTTAACACGTCCGCAGGCACCATTTTTCTGTTTACCACATGCTTGACAGTCTGCTGGTATATCAATCAAAACAAATACATCGTACATCGTTCAGCGTAATGATTGTATACATGTACTATTTTGTGTGCATCACCCACATTTATGTGTGTGATCCTTTTGTTTTCTGTTTCTTCATATTCGTCGTCTTCGCTATTATTGTCTATCCTCTTCGCAAGAAAAAAAAACTATTTTGGCTGAACTTTCATTCAAATTGGTTGATGTATCTTTTCCTAGCATCATCAAATCTCATATAGAATGTCATGCTTTTCCGTTTCCATCATGCTATACATTAACTTCGTGTATAAAGCACGATTTTATTTCCGATTCGCTTTGATTTTAGTTCAAATTACCATTATTAAATTTCATTTTTCTGTATTTTACTTTACTGATTCGTTTGGATGTACGCAAGTGTAGCCGTGGACGGGATGAGAGAATACGATGTTCTATTTCCGATTTTTCTACAATTCAGAGAGAGAGAGAGAGAGTTTCAGTCTTCAGTTCGACCATTTGTCATTCTTTGATTTTCATCGTAGTTGTATGAATTAATCTGGAAATTACGAGCCAAATGCGATGTTTGCTAGTTACCAAGCGGAAAGAACCGAGAACAATCAATCCTTATTTCACATTCATGATATTTACTCATGTGTATGTATGACAAATGAAAACTCTATTATGTTGATATTTAGCAATGAAATGCATGTTGCGATTAGATGTTCAATTGTAAATGCTTCCATTGAGAGTAAAACTTTGCTTAAGAATGAAATCTCCATCGATTTTAACCCCATATACCAATGTATACGTATTTATAGCACATTATTTTGTGAGAAAGATGAATAGTTTATCAGAGTTGTGTTCGGATGCGATGCGCAGCAATTATTCTTAACTATGTTTGTATGCATCAATTCGAACATTCCTCAAACCCGACTGATATAGACGTTAAATAATGTTTCATTGTTTTTGTAGATGATGTGTTGCATCTTTTTTTTTCTCCTCTTCATTGTTACTCTGTTGTTATTGTTGTCCGTCAAAACTTACAACACTTCAAAGATTGACGCATCAAAGTAACATATTCGAAAATGAGTCAAACTTTTTCCTTTGTTTGTTTGTTGTTCGTTATATTTATGTTCTATCCATGATCGAAAAACTTCATGCGAATATTTTCCCGATGTGTGTGTGTGTGTGTAGGTATCATTTGTAAAATGTGTCATAAGTTGGATGGTTGGCTGTTGTCGAATATGGTTCCTATTGATTTGTGGCCCATTTTTGACGCCTTCTTTGCTATTATTATGATGTATGAGCACGAGTTGGTTATTGTTGATTGTATTTTTTGGCTTGATGACTATTGTAAGAACCGTGATGTTAAAGCGATCACCGAAGACAAATGTGGCACTTGGATATGGGCATTATAATTCGAAAAATGTTGTTGTTGTTGTTTTATTGTGGCTGTTCCATATATAATATCGACAATATAAATGTAAACAAATATGAATCGAATAACAATTTGAATAATGTATGTGCTGGTACTGTATCTGTGAGGCTCAACATTAATCATTTGCATATTGATTATTTTGTGCATATTTTATTACATCATCGGTACACATATTTTGTGTTTTGCGTCGCTGAATGAGAAAGACACACAGAGAGAAAGAGAAAGAATGGAGCACAATTTTATTGTCATCGAATCACTTTTTGGCATTTGTTCAACGTTTGCAAACTAATTGAGATCGATTAAATGCGTACACCTTTTGATGAATACATTTCGTGGAAAATGTTAAACAAAACATTCGATCCGTAGATTTCATCGCATTTCATGCGCATTTCACAAGGCTTTCATGTGAAAAATGACAAAATAAGACCCAAATAATTCTATGATGCTGTGCTAATCGCATCCAGTATGTTGAGCGATTTGATGAACGGATTCCAAAAATCCAACCGTCACACAAATGTGATGATGGAATGTAAATTTCAATTTGGATGCGTGTACGGAAGCCATCATCATCTTTATCACTACCATCATCTACCTTTTCTTCATCACCATTAAAATACGTTTGATAAATTTTCCTCTTCTTTTTCTTCTTCTTCTTCGTCTTGATTTTCTTTTTAAAAAAACGCATGTTATCACGTTTGACACACGTAAACGGTGCATTAGCAACGTTTTGGAGGCCGGTGTTATCCATCGGTTGGATAATATCCGGGCCCCAGCTGAAGCTTATCTCACTTGGGCTCTTCAATCGTTTGTCCAACCACTATGATTATGATGATGAACACGGCCAATAAAACCAGTATACAACAAATAGCCACGGCAACCATTGCACTATTACTCATATATGTGACTTGATGTGATGACAACGTTGTGGATTATCGTATTTATGTTGATGTTCAACGAATTGGCGCGTTTCTTTTGTAATCACTTTTATTTGCAATCTTTTTTTTACTTTGTGGCTCTCGCTTTATCGCAAATTAACCGAATTATTTTGGTTTAGTTCGTGTTTTTTTTTCACTCTATATCGCAATTTAATCACTTTTTATTTTATTTTATCTGATGTTTTATTCTATACGTATTACTGTAATTTTTGGATTAGTACAGGCCTTTCATTCCCTATGATTTCGTTAAATAGTATGATTTATCTATCTTAAGCTTAAAATTCAGGGCAATAATACAAGCTCTTCGATTTTTCAAGTATTTTTTATTGTTGTTGTTCTTGTTTAGTTTTAAATGCTTCAAAAAGTCAACAAAACAATGCACTAAAATTATTAATCACTTTGATTGTTCCGTTTATTATTGTGTATGTGTTGTTTTTTCCTAGTTAAAATTTACTCGGTTTAAATACGCCACAAAAACCAATTTTCTATCTCTTTTTAAAAAAAATACTTTTTGTTTGTTTGTATTTTGGTTCTTAAAATTCAGAAATTGTTTTTGATTTTCCGTATGAACTGTAAATTAAAGGGAGAATTAAATATAATCAGTCATTGTGTGCGTGTGAAATTAAATTTTTCGGCATTTCATGGATTCAAACATATCAAAGTTGGTTTTGGCAATCAGTCGAGCGTACGCATCCCAACATTTATGTGATACCACATAAATTTGAAATGTTCGCTTTTATACCCGTTAAATTACAATAAAATCCAACACACAAAAGTGGGTAGGTGTGTATATATCTATAAACTGTGATGGGTTGCATATATATAAACGAAAGGATTTATTATGAATTACATACATTAGAAGTGAATGGAAGCTGTTGCGAGGATTTAATTTGTAGCGTCTGCTTTTGGTTTCGGTGAGCTTTCACATGCCATTCGCTGTTGTCAATGGTGTGTTCGTGTGAGCGTATGTAAAAAGACATTTTCAAATTGTATACTACAATGCATATCACATTTATATGGTACATGGAAATTTCAACTGATTTGAATGGCACTTTTTTTCCAACGAAATTGACATCACGGTTGGTTGAAATTTAACAGAGGAAAATATCGTTAAAGTAAATTTGTCACTCCCTGTCCCAAATCCCTTTCTCTCTCTCTCTCTCTCTTCCGTTTCCTTCTTACGCGTATTCTCTCATTTTTCGATTAATTGTAATCGTTGCAGAAGGAGAAAAAATTTGGTATTAAATATTCAAATAAGAGAGTATGTGCAGCTTAAATTCAAATATAATACACATCTGGAGAGCGATGCTCACACATAACATACAATTCTCTTCCACTTTTGTGATTCTTTACATACGTCAAGTGAAATAAACGGATCAACGAGAGAATGATAATTCTAAATTGAATTGACTGGCTACACTAGAAAACTATTATACATTTTTGACTTTCATGTTCCATTGGATGCAGCATGAATTGAAAAAAAAAACGAGAAAGGGATAAAGAAATGGATTTATTGTAAACGTGTGTTCTGATTTTTCTCTCTGTACTTTAAACCTATCGAGATTCAAGAAACGTACAAAACATAACGGTACACATAGTATATCATGGTCATTTTGTATTGAACGATTGTTTGTTCATTTTTTTTTGTTAGTTTCTTGTTGATATTATTCCTCTTATTCTTATTTATAAGAGTAAAACATATAGAACATTGGAAATGAATCGATTATGATCCTGATTATGATGCTCTAAATATGTATTTATATAATAAATAAAAGTAAAACCGATATGTTCATCATTTCGATGTAGGGCAGTAAAAATATTCAGTCTGGTCTCGATGGGAGTGGTAAAGTTTTAAATATTCAAGTTAAAACTGTGTCACTGTGATATAAAATATAAACTGTGAAATTACACATCATATTTTTCAAATGATGTCAAAGCCAGAAAAACACAAGTACATTTAATTTAAAGAGCAAATACACAACGCCCTCATCAATTTCGTTAAAAGTTCTTTTTTTGCGTACTAAATAAGTGTAGTCGTAAAGGATCCGTTTGGAAAAATATGAATATTCGCACCTGTCATCGTATAATTTAATTCATTCTGTGAAACCGTGACAGATAGAGCACAATTATCTCGCATTTGCTCACTATTCTCCACATAAAAATGATGACTGTATCATGAATAAAAATAAATCGAACAAACATTTGTATATAATATATATTTAATATCGATTTAAATTCGTCCATTCAATGAAATCCATTCTTGATTGGCTTAGTATCGATTTGTTTCCAAAAATTAAGCTCTTTTTCTTTCTTTCGTTTAAACATTACGTAAAAATGCAAAGAAAATGCAACTATTTTGTTGGATTTGTTCAAAGTATCTCTCAATTGCGAAGAAGAATATGCATTTATATCAATCGGAATAGTTGTGAAAGTAGCATTCAATCAATCAAATCGTCTTATTCAGAACATTTATATAGAGCAATATTTAGATTGCCAACGACATACAAGAAATGACGACAGAGAAGAGAAGGAAAAAATGAAAATGATCTCATCTCTTGTTGTAACATTAATACACACACATATATGTATAGATATAGATATAGAAGATGAAAACAATGAGAATACAAAGGGGACGAAAACAGATATTCAATCCAAACATGAAACATTATGTTGAATCTTTTCCTTTTTCGTGTCTTATTCGACGATAACAAATTTTATTTAATTCGATATTCAATCGGGATAATGCAATGAAATTCCTTTTTCACCCTCATGTGTGCTACATTTGAGCAAGCATTCACACTGTAATCGTAACAAGTTGTGGCCAACATCATTCAACTAATTTCAAAGCTTTTACACAACATTTTGAGTGTGCGTTGTAGAAAATATGCGCCTATTTTGAAAAGCACACACACACACAATGGCATCATTTATGCCTGACAAAACGCATGATGGTTTGCTGTTAGCTTGCAATTTTCAAATGGCCGTAACACATAGGCAAAAGCTACCAAATTTATTTCGTTTGAATGGGCTAGTCGGAATGGCCCAATTCTCGGATATACTGAGATATATATATATATGGAGAACGTTTGCTATCTCGAATATTTTGTTGCATTGTTTCGTGATTCCCTTTTTCGTCACTGGAAAAGTAAAAATTGAAGTCAACGGATGTTAGAATACAAATTGGTCAAAGTAATAGATTTATTTCAATTGCTGTGAGTAGCCAAAACTCTAAGCGCTTTATAATCTTGCCACAATGGGGGTGAGTTTCATTGATGACCGTACGCACGTTATTCAATTTCTCAATCGCTTCGACGATTTCCATTCACTCCGTATTTTGGATCATAATCGGTTAGTTAACTTTTATTTTTCTTTTGTGCTTTTCATCGTGGTAGGTCATCAAGCAGTACGTTTTTTCCTCACACATTGTGCGGCCAAAACAAAATTACCCGAATAAAAATATATTGTCGCGATCGATAAACGTAATCGATGTGAATTATACCCAAAAAATTAAGAAACAAAAGCTTTCCATACATATTGATCGGGTAAAGGCATGAAAATGAAGGCAGGATGAAGAGAAACAGAGAAAAGTAAGAATAAAAAATTCGTATGGGGTTGAACTTTTGATATTAACTTTACTGGAACGGTTACGCCGATAATATTCTTGGAATTGAAATTATTTTTTTTTACTATCAAACTGACTAATGCTCAATATATTTCATATGCTTATTTTCGTGCGTGCGTGCGTGTGTATATTCACACGCCTATAGTTGGTCCCACACTCAAAATGGCATTTTGACATGCGAATGGTATGGATTAGTTATTGAGATGTATGAAACGAGCACAAACAAAAATTTGGCTATAAAGTTTTTTTTTTCGACTGGCAACGGTAAGTGGTTGCGTGCCAAAGAAAAAGAAAACAGATATGATTCATTAATAATTATGTGAATATTTCAGAGAAAAACAATTCATTCACTGGGCTCGTGTTTTTTATACATCGTGATTTTTCTTTTCATCCTCCCCGTATATATTCCGTCGAAATGTGTTTGTGTCGGAATATGCATGTCGATGTTTGTGTAAAAAAAGCATTAAGGAGTGTGGGTGTTTCGATTTTTTTTTGGCTTAATAACATTTAAGAAGAAAAAACAACTTGTGACTAAGAGGATCAAGAAGAGGAACGGAATGTCGCAAAACTGGAAAAACGCGACAACCTCAACGAAAACTTGAAAATGAATAATATTATTGATCGACACTTTTTTGTTAGTTCCACCCCTCCATTCTGAGTATAGCGTAAATGTTCGATGTGATTTTGTTGTTGTTGTTGCTTCTCTCGTCACGGTATATTAACTTATGAGGGCTTTGGGCATTCCATTTGGAATAACAATGATTGCTCTTGTAAAATCCGTATATTTGAATGATTCAAATGTTTTGTGCTCATTTCAGAAATTACAAGAGTGCGCACACAATTTCATTCTTTCCACAAATGTTGCTCTTATATACGGCTTCAAAATGCTATATTATCGTTTAATGTTTCGTATTAACGAACTCTTATGACTTTCATTTTTTTTTTCTACCTTGACGCTTCCTGAACTGAACGATTACATACATTTCTTATTTAGATATCATGGCATTTATAACAATGAAAAATAAAGAGCAAGCGAGCGAAAATCGCTTGTACATCGTTAGGAGAGTGACATAATGACCAGCATAATACAATAAAATGTCTCTTCATGGCTTACAAAGATGTTGTACAAAATTCGGTAAAGGTTTGGAAAGCGGAAAGTTGCGAACTGATTTTCTTTGAGCCGTTGATAAATTATTTTACAAAATGAAACATCTTTTGACTGATGAATTTAGATTTTGGCGAAAATCTACACAAAATCAGAAGCCGAGAGTTTCGTTTAAGGAAATTGCTTCTGAAATGCGGAAAATGTAAACACATTATATTTGGGTAACATTTCAATGCAAATATAAAATTTTTTGTGTGGTAAATTCACAAAATTATTTCGGTAAACCCCATACATATTGAATATTCTACATCGCTAACCTACTTTACATCATTTATATCTTGATGTATTGTTATCTGTTTGAGGAAAAACGTACCTCTCCGTTTCATATGAATAACATATACAGTATTTATTTACACTAGCATTACGACACCTTTCCGTATGATTTTTTTCTCGTACTGTTCAAGTTAGATTCTGAAAATAGACCCGAAGCTTTTCACATTTGGTTACATTTCATTTAATGCATCATTTTAAATATTTCGATCAAATGTCATTGGTATCATTGTGATGACAGGTGCAAAAGAGACATATCCATGTGTATTACTTACACGAGGCGAAAAGATACTTCAACATTCAAATACGGGGAAAAAAACTCGTTTAGATCGAAAGCTTATAGAATTTCAACGTATGTTAGTACACACAAAAAAAAATGAAATCTGTTAGCATTTTACAACGACGCGACATTTCATTTGAGGTATTGAAGGTGCCAAAAAAGGAGCTCATGTGCACGTCATTCTATAAATCTGATTTCTTGAATTCATAAATCTATTTTCACCGAATTCCCAT